GTTCAATGGAACCATTATTGTATCTCAAAACTAGCAGCTTTTTGAGTCTCTTGGTAAATGGACCTGAGTAGCACACACAAATGAGGAATATGCTGTCTCCAAAATCCACAGAGTCCACTATGCATTGTGGGCTCTTCTTTGTTGTCAGGGGGACATATGCAACAACTTATCTTTCACATTAAAAGGGATATCTGGCATATCCCTCATCACTGGTTCCCCTGGAAATTTCACTGAGGTAGGTCTCTGAATTTTTGTCAGATTTACTTCCTCCCTCTGACACAAATGTCTTACCAATGAGTCTACAGTTGTTTCTACTTCTAGTTTACTAGGCTCAGTCAGCATAATGTCATCAGCATAATGAACCTGTGATATCTTGTGGAAGGGAAAGGCGATCAAAATCCCCATGAACTAAATTATGATGCAGGGCTAGAGAGTTGATATCCCTGAAATAGGACAGTGAAAGTGTATTGCTGCCCTTTCCAACTGAAAGCAAACTGCTCTGGGTGGTCTTTATTAACAAAGATGGAGAAAAAGACATTGCTAGATCAATAGCTGCATATTAGGTATGAGGGGGTGTGTTGATTTGCTCAAGCAATAAAACTATGTCTGGTATAGCAGCTCCAATTGAAGTTACCATTTGGTTGAGTTTACAGTAATCCACTGTCATTCTCCAAGGTCCATCTGTCTTCTGCAGAGACCAAATAGGCAAGTTCAATGGAACATGGTGGGAATTACCACCACTGCCTCTTTCGAGTCCTTGATGGAAAAATTTAAATTTTTTTTTAAAGATTTATTTATTTATTTTAGAGAGACAGCAGGGCAGATGGAGGGACAGAGGAAGAGAATGTTTAAGCCGGCCCCGCCCTCAATGCAAAGCCCAGTGCAGGGCTCCATCTCACGACCCCTCAGACCATGACCTGAGGGGAAACCAAGAGTTGGTTGCCCAACCGACTGAGCCACCCAGGTGCCCCATGGCGACACTAATCTTTGCAACCCTTCCAGGAATGTGGTATTGTGTTTCATTTTAGGTAGAAGCAGTTTTACTGGCTTGACATTTCCCACCATGATAGCCTCACTCCACAGACCAGAGAATCTGTGTGGGGATTCTGAAACTGCTGAGTATGTCTATTCCAATCATACATTCCAGTATTGGGGAAATAACCACAAGATACGTTTGGAGGGGCAGCTGGGTGGCTCAGTCAGTTAAGCTTCCAGCTCTTGGTTTCAGCTTGGGTCAGGGTCTCTCGGGTCGTAGGATTGAGCCCTGTGTAGGGCTCCACACTCGGCGCAGAGTCTGCTTGTCCCTCTCCTTCCCCCTCTACTCCTCCTCCTCTCTCTCTCACTCTCTTAAATAAATAAGTAAAATCTTAAAAAAAAAAAAAGGAAAAAGAAAAAAGATGGGTTTAGAGATCCCCTGGGACCACCAAATCTGAGGCAGATTTGACCTAAAACTTCATTTATCACCTGACCTCCATAAGCCCTTACTTTGACAGTGGACCAAAGTGACATTTTGAGCTTCTTAGAATTACTGTCAGTGAAGTCAGTGTCCAGCAATCCCCAAAAGGGATTTTAAAAAAAATTTTATGATTTACTGACCATTTCCTTTTTCCCCAAAGCACAGTTGCCTTGGTAAAAGGCCATCAGTCCCTATGCGGAAGACTGAGAGAAAGATTAACAGTATAAATTTTTGGAAGTATGCTAGGGTTCTTCCTCAAGGGGGGGACCTGGTCTCCCTTTCATTCAAGGGGCTCTGGGTCTGTAAACTGGCTCAAGTCTGGAAATTGATTGAATATGACTCTGTTTTTATGATTTAAGTTAGATTTTTGTTCACTTGAGCTAGAACTCTTCTACTTATACAGATCAAGTGAGAATTTAGTAGGCTTCCCATATATTTTTCTTCTAGGAACACCGTGATCAAAAGCCAACCTCACGGGCGCCTGGGTGGCTCAGTTGGTTAAGCGACTGCCTTCGGCTCAGGTCATGATCCTGGAGTCCCGGGATCGAGTCCCGCATCGGGCTCCCTGCTCAGCAGGGAGTCTGCTTCTCCCTCTGACCCTCCCCCCCTCTCATGTGCTCTCTCTCTCTCAAATAAATAAATAAGATCTTTAAAAAAAAAAAAAAAGCCAACCTCACAGGTCTCCAGGAGTCAGACTATTTGATTGCTGTTTTGACTCTGCTGCCCACTATGGTAATAGTGGGCAGCAGAGTCGCCAATTTGCCTTTGGCGATGGAGTGCTGCCATTTGGGCCCTGCCACTTCACCATCCAATTATTTTCATTGCATTTAGGTTTCTCAATTCAGTGGCAGCAGTTCCAAATATAAGTCCTGGCCTACAGAGAAATGTGACTGTAGAACTCTTCAAGGATGCTGAGGCTTCCCTCACAAATTTATTTCTCACTGTTGCAGTGAAAGGTGTGTCCACTGGAAACTTGCAAGGTGAGTGAGTAGGTCTTGAATGACAAATGCATCCTGGGGCACCTGGGTGGCTCAGTCGTTATGCGTCTGCCTTTGGCTGAGGCCATGATCCCAGGGTCCTGGGATCGAGCCCCGCATCAGGCTCCGTACTCAGCGGGAAGCCTGCTTCTCCCTCTGCCACTCCCCCTGCTTGTGTTCCCTCTCTCGCTGTGTCTCTCTCTGTCAGAAAATGCATCCCAATTTTATGGAACTATACAGTGGAGATGGTTTCACAACATTGTAAATATTTTAAGAGTTACTGAAGTGTATATTTTAAAATGGTTAAGATGGTAAATTTTATATTATGTGAATTTACCTCAATTTTTAAAAAATCTTGAAGACTATGTATAAAATATGTCCATGAGTTGAGTAGAAAGTAAGATTAATTATATCTTATTTTATGTGAAACTACATTAGTTCCTAGTGATCACCACTTCATCTTCTAGAGATCAGTCAACTTTCAAGTATGGGCCAGAAGCCCCTTTCATCTTGGTAGTTAAAAATGCAGATATGTTGAGCCAAATAACTTTGGGTGTGGTGCCCAGGAATTTGCTTTAATTATGTCTACAGTAATTACTGAATATACACTAAAGTGTGAGAATCATAATTCTAGATGACCATAAGTCACCCATTAATAATTTTCTCTAAATTTTTGGTTGCACCACATGTTAATAGCACCTGTCTGTGGTTTCAAATAGTCACTTTTATCTTCTTTTTGAAAATCAGAAGATGATTTGCTCACCCTGGTTGCTTCTTATTTTTTCCACAAGTCCTCAAGTAACCCTGTCTCAGAATTTTCTCAAAGTAGAGAAATTACTTCAAAAACTAGAAATGATAGAATTCAGTAGTAAATGATGCAGTTCTCTGGTAATTTTTACACTTATCTTGATCTACCTCTTCCCTTAGGGATTTTCTTTCATTTTCTTTCTTTCCTTGACAGACAAAGCAGAAGCAACGTATGAGTTAGTTGATAGGCAGACGGACCCTGTATAACTTAAATCAGTGTTCCTGCTCCTATCTTATTGGTCCAGTGCCCTAAGGTGGGAGTTTTGTTTTGAGTACTTCAGTTTTTGTTTTTAAAGAAACACCTGAGTGTTGTCCCTTTCAATGTGGAGTTTTACTCGGCTGCTTTGATGCAAGATATTTAGGCAATCTTTTGGGAATGCCTTCAGAGCGAACATAATAACCTTAGTATTGTTTATGTACCCCGGGACCTCTCATTTTTGCAATTTGGACCACAGACTACTTGGCTCCCACTCTCTCCTGACTCTCCAAATGGTTTATTTTACATTTTGAGCTATTCTGCATGGTTTACTGTGTCCTAAGATGCAGTGGTGAATGCTGTGTGCCCTGTGTCCTATAGCAGTCCTCCTTAGCATCTACAATTCCCGCTTTCTTCTGAAATGGCAAGCGCATCCTTTCAACTTAGAGTCGCCTTCTGCTGGTGGGAATTGTGACGACTGGTCGCCGGCAGCCTGGAGAATCCTCCCAAGCTCAGGATCCTCGCCGGGCGCGGTGGCGCGCGCCTGTAGTCCCAGCTACTCGGGAGGCTGAGGCAGGAGGATCGCTTGAGCCCAGGAGTTCTGGGCTGTAGTGCGCTATGCCGATCGGGTGTCCGCACTAAGTTCGGCATCAATATGGTGACCTCCCGGGAGCGGGGGACCACCAGGTTGCCTAAGGAGGGGTGAACCGGCCCAGGTCGGAAACGGAGCAGGTCAAAACTCCCGTGCTGATCAGTAGTGGGATCGCGCCTGTGAATAGCCACTGCACTCCAGCCTGGGCAACATAGCGAGACCCCGTCTCTTTTGAGTTCTCACCTTAAAGTATCCTTTCTTCTCATGTATCTATCGAACACAACGAAAAGTGGCATACTTACATTCTTGCCCAACAGTTTTCCTACTACCCTGTGAATTTCCCCATGGTGAGGCAATCTTCTCTTGTTCTGTCTTACTTTTGATTATCTAGCGAAACACCTGAATATTCAGGTTGCCTAGCGTTTATGGAGTTCCTATTGTATACCAGGTACTACGCTGAGGCAAGGGGATGCCAAGACCGAGGTTAAATGAGAATCCCACAAGACATCTCAAAATACTCTTCTGAGAGCAGGGCGCATCAAAATAGGAACTCCTTTCTGAACGTTGCTTCACCTTTATCATTGAGGGTAATTGTAAGGCGAATGAAACAGTTCCGCTTCGTCGCATTTCAAAATTCTACTGGTCCAGGTAACCGAATGGAAAGGGGTTGTTGCTCTGGCATACCGAGCCCTACCGCCCTTCTAGGGGAAATCCTCCCAGTACGCGCCTCATAAATTTTTACCACCAGCAGGGGTCACTAGGGAGGCTTGCTTAAGTCCCGAAACACACGAGGGAAAGGTAACCGGACTAGTCCGTCAGCTCTCCAGGAAGAAATGCACTTTCAGAGAATAATTTGGATTTATTTCGAATTCTTTTGGCACACGAAAAGCCAGCTGACGGCGACTTGATAGTCCAAATCTTCAGAAAAGTGACGCAAACACCTTCGCTTCAAGGAATATTGGGTCTTCTGCGCGGCCGTAGATTTCGGCCAAGTGCGCCTGCGCATAAGAGTAGCGGCGTTGAGTCAGGCAGTCAGTGGAGAAAACTGCGGTAGCGACCCTCAGACCTCGCCATGAAGACTCGCTTTAGCACCATTGACCTCCGCGCGGTACTCGCGGAGCTGAATGCCAGGTACTGAGCGATACGTGACCAGGCTCGTGCGGGGAATGCAGAAGGCAGAGGCCAGTGCCCCAAAGCGGAAGAAAGACCAGCCTCATGTTTCCTTAGTCCCCAGTGCTTTTCTTCTGCGGACCTGGCTAGGCCTGGCTGGGCGAGCGCGTGACATCTTTCCCGTGGCCCTCAGGACACCTGGGGGACCCCAGCGTCCGCGGGCCCCACACCCCGCTCTCGCGGGTTGCCTGTCTCACCAGGTCTTGTGTCAGGCTTTGGCTGGGCCCTCGCCGAGCTCTCGCCTTGTTGGCCTGAGTTGCCTGGGTCTGGCAGCAAACGTTTAGTAAAACGCGGGACACCAGGTGGAAGCCGGGATGCCCCAGTAGGCTTTTGCCTCAGGGGTTTCCAGACTGGAGGCCTGATTTCTTTGACACTCCTCCTTACTCCTAAGAGCGGGAATATCGGCGTTTTAGCTGCAAGTAACAGATTCTAGTCAGGTTTCTATTCAGCTGTATGAGTTTTGTCATTTTTCCAGGGTTTCGTTTATCTTTTTTTTCTTTTGTAATAAAGTGGATTAGATTGTACTATATTTCCTTAAAAATATTGGGTCATTTCAAGGACGCAGGGCATTGCATGGTTTTCTTAGGTTTGGCATACCACTTTTGTTCATAAAAAGTTACAATTAAGTTTTGGGCTGAATGCCTGATGGCCTTCAGACTCTGCTCCCTGGTTGACTCCATATCCTTAAAGTTGGGGATCCCCTCTTTCGAAGGCTCTGCTTCCGCCTGCCGCTTTAATTTTTGTGAAGTTTTATATTTCAAATGTTGTTACAGGTTTCCTTTCTCTTTGCAGCTTAATAGGAATGAGAGTAAGCAATGTTTATGATGTGGATAATAAGACCTATCTTATTCGTCTTCAAAAGTAAGAGCATTTTACAGGCTTGTTTTACTTTGGTAATTAAATATGAGATTATTAATTTTTTTTACTTGCACTTTTAGTCTGTTTTACTGAGTTAGCATTGACAAGTGCCCTAAAGAAAAATTTAACTTTTTTCTTCTACAGACCAGACTTTAAAGCTACACTTTTACTTGAATCTGGCATACGAATTCACACAACAGAATTTGAGTGGCCTAAGAATATGATGCCATCTAGTTTTGCCATGAAGGTAAACTTTATACTTGAAGCTAAATTTTAAGGCCCTGAGATTGGTCACTAACGATTTAAGTTTTAAAACATTTGGTTTTCCTTTACTGTTATAAATAAAGTAGAGATAAAATAGAGTAGTTGATAGATACTGGGATGAATAAAGTAGCTGTTTATTGACTTCTCCCTGTTACTCTTCACACCCCATTGTGCTCCAGATCTTTCTGTTCCCACAGTCACTATTCTAGTTTGAGCTTTCATAACATTTCCTTAAAGTCCCTTAATTACAGTCTACTTCTTGCTATCAAAATAATTGTGTTAGACCAGTGTTAATTTTTCTAAAGCCTCATTTTCATCAGTTTTTCACCTTTTTATGATTCCCTAATTTCTGAATCCATATCCTATTATTCTTGGCTTTCTATGATATGTCCTCCTCCCCTTTCCTAGTTTTCTGCAGTTCACTTTTGAGCTACTAATCTGTATTTTGTTGGACTACTCAATGACATTAGTATGTTACCAATCATATCTTCTTACTTTTCACTTCTTTCTTTTGTTTTTTCTTTTAAAACTGAGATTCTGCATTTGTGGACGTGTTACCTATCCATTTGTTGACATAACAGATATACTGAAAGATTATGTGGTACAGAGGAAAGACATTAGAATCAAATATACCTAACTTTGAATTAATGATTTTGCCGCTAAATAATTTTATAACCCAGAAAAGTTACTTAACCTCTTGAAACTTAGTTTCTTTAAATGTAAAATGTGGATAATACCTCCCTCATGGGGTTACTGGTGAGGATTAATTGAAGTAACATGTAAAGCACCTAACACAATGCCTGACACATATTAGGGCTCCATATGTATTAATTTCCTTCTTCCTCTCCTCCTCACTTTCCTTCAGAAATTTATTTGTTTTGGCATTGTGTTATTTCATTAGAGGCTTTACAGAGAAGAATCTTATCCCCAGCAACTTAGAATCTGTTTTGGATTACAAGTTAGGTAAGTGTTTCCCAAATCACAAGGCCTGTCACAAAATTATCAAACTCTTAAAAGTTTAATATACTTAAAAGTAAGCCTACATGGTTCTTTTGGGAATTGTCCTTAATAATGGTGACACTTGGTATTTGTATAGCACTTTTCAAAATAAATGAATAGTGTATATTTTAAGTTGTTTAATATAACAGTGGATATGAAGAACAGTTATTTTAGTTTTACAGATGATGTAACAGATGATAAGATATATGATACTGGGATTGTGTAAAAATCCCCAAATCAGGCTATACTAATAGGAAGCCAAACACTCTAAAAAGAGAATTTTATGAGTTAGGTGTACATGTTAAACTAAACATATAGAGAGATACTCTCCATTGGAGCAGACAATGTTAAGCACGTTATAAATAATTTAAAATAAAGAGATGCTACTGTTGTATGGCATAGTCATGCTCAGTTTGTGGTAAATCACAGTGACTGTTCCTCATTCTCACATTTGGGGATGCCAGTTAATGCTTTGTGGCACTGACAGTCATTTTCACCAAGCTCCTAATAGGGAAATAAACAAAATAAGCACTACATATGTACTGTATGCCCATCTATACTCATGATAAATAATCTTCCCTTTTCTCCATTCCATGGTGTGGATTTCTGTTCCCTTCAAGGATGCCTTTTATCTCCATTTTAACTTTATTTTTCTTGAATAAAAATGCTACTGGGGGACTCTGGAAGGATTGTGATTTTCCCCTGGGGACTTAAAAATAGCCCTATACGTAGGCCACTGTTTAAATCAAAATCATCATAGACCACTCATAAATCAGAACTATTGAATATAGGAGGGGGAAATTGTTAGAAGTTTGAAAAGTCTTATTACATCTATCTGAATATACAAGTGCATAAAATAATTTTAGTCAATCTGAACTGTCAGGTCTGGGGAAGAAGTCTTGGTTATCAAAGAGTTGGCATTCTAAGAATGATTGTATATTTCTTTCTCTTTTTTTAAGGTGACTTTATATTAACTTCTCTGTAAAATTTGTCTTGAATTTGTCTTGAAAGCATTCTATTTTACTGGGCTTGACTAAGGGGTCATTCAAATTCAAGAATTAGAAACAATTGGAAGATTTTTTAGGCACTACAGAGTAATCTTGTTTCTGATCTATGTTATGCTTAAATATCTGTACTAAAGGATGGTATATATAATCTAAAGCAATAGGTATTTACCTATTTGTATTTGGGTTTAAAATGTTAATTTTATTTAGGGTGGTATATATAATCTAAAGCAATAGGTATTTACCTATTTGTATTTGGGTTTAAAATGTTAATTTTTATTTTAATTGCTAATAAGAAAAGAACATTGTGACTTAGGGATAGGAAGAATGGGATTTGATAAGGAATGAGAGTTAATACATTTGGATTTGAGCTAGGTTGATCAAAACCTTTGGAGACAGTACCAGAAAAATTGTCTGGGTTATATTAATAAATTTGTGGGACTAGAAGGTAATTGGATGTATGTAGAGGATTATACCAATAGAATACCAATAAGCTCATGGTTCAGAATTTGTATTTGAAGTGGAAGATTAGTGAAAACTAATTAATTTTGAACACAAAGGAAATTGGGGATACTTAAAAGATGGGACTAGAAAGAGGCTTAAAAAAAAGGTTATGGTTTTGAATGAGGTCATCAGGGTAAGAAAAAGGGATTTAGCAATGGTATAAACAACAAAATAAATTTCTCTATAGATCTGTCATTATCTTCTTTAAAAAGTATAAAATACTGTTTCAGAGTTAGAGTCGTCTGAAGTGTTTTTCCTTTATCATCTGCAAGCTTTTGTTTACTACTTTTTAAATATTATTCTTGATGATAATGAAAAGAGGAAACTTATTTACAAACCAGTATCAAACAATTAGGAATTGACTTCTACATAAATGACATTTTCTTCTGTTTTTCACTAGTGCCGAAAACATTTGAAGAGTCGGCGATTGGTCAGTGCAAAACAGCTTGGTGTGGATAGGATTGTAGATTTTCAATTTGGAAGTGATGAAGCTGCTTATCACTTAATCATTGAGCTCTATGATAGGGTAAGTTAAATTTGGGGAACGAGATAAAGGATAATTGATCATTATATTGTTAATTATTTGTGTAATACTATTGTACTGTAAAACATGGGCAGGGAACGTTCTGCCCCTTCCCCTGCAGGCAACTGCAACTGCAGCCCATCTGAAATTGATTTTTGTACGTGGTCTCAGGTAGTGGTCAGTTAAAATTTGCATGATACCTACTTTAAAAATTTTTTTTTAAAACTTTTGTTTTGAAATGATTATAGATTCACAGGAAGTTGCAAAGATAAGAGAGGTCAGTGTCCCTCAGTTGTTATATTTTACATAATTATAGTACAGTATCAAAATCAGGAAATTGATATTGGTACAATGTATGCATCTAGTTCTGTGCATTTTACCACCTTTGTAGATACATGTAACCACTATTGCAGTCAAGATCCAGAATTTTCCATTACCACAGAGATCTTCTTGGTGATACCTCTTTATGGTAATACCCACCCACCTCTCTTCCTCCCACCGTCCCAACCTCCTGACAACTACCAATGTATTCTGTCTCTATGATTTTGTCATTATATTGGGTCTTCAACAGAGAAGTCAGTTTCAGAACCTTGCTGGAAAGGATATATCAGATACTCTTAAACAGGAGTAGATAAATTACAGCTGGTGGCCCCTTGTTATAAAGCTTGTGAACTTAAGAATGTTTTTTATGTTTTAAAAGGGCTCTTAAAAAAAAAAAAAAGAAGATGCAACTGAGACCATATGTGGCCATAAATGCTAAAATGTTTACTATCTTGCCTTTTACAGAGTTAGCTTTGTAAAAAAGTTTGCTGACCCCTGCTCTTACATAATAGACTCACATCGTCTGAGCCAGTATTGCTTAGACAAATGCCAAAATGTATCAGGGGACCAAATTAGAATTTATGAGACTTACTTTAATCTAGAAGCAGGTGCTTTTATGAAAATAAGAGTGCCAACCTGTGATCTAGGATGATTAGAATTAATCAGACAGGACTAAATAAACTGGAGAGAATCTAATTGTGGTTAATTTTTTTCAGAATTTTGTTGGTGTTATTTTTATGCTGTTTTATGGTATATGATAAAGCCCTTTACCTTTCTCTTGATCTGTAGTAGTTTGTACTTCTGCAAATTGAAGTGATACATTCTTTAAATGGTAATTTGCTCTTATTGATCCCTTAGAATTTAGGAACAAATGTCTTTTATGGAGATTTTTTTTACTGCTAATGGCAATGTGTATATTTACATAGGTTTGATAAGAATTTGTCCTTCCTTTTACCAAGATATAAGTAGGCAAATTGATTGTGCAACTAAGGTCAAACCTGGGGTATCATAGTTGAGAATAAGTCTCATTTAAGTAGGATAACAAGCTCATCATTAAGGAACAAAGGTTATATTGTATATGCAGAAGCAGTGTCCACAAAGCCCTCCTGAGAAACTGGTTTTGTACCTATTCTGTGGCATGTAGGATCCTAGCCTATTGGTAGTAAGGAAGGGTAGGTTTGAGTAACTTTAAAGAGGAATTTACCTACATTTATAGGTATACCACAGACACAATGAGTAGTGGTGTTTTTGTTTGGTCTGGTTTCATAGCTTTGAATAAGAAGCAAATACTAATTGTTAAATCTCTGGGATAACAAACTTTTGAAAATAAAATCCCAGATTTCTTATGAATTCTCCAGGCAGCAGTAATTATTATGGCTTTAGTAATTGCTTCATACCTTATGGCTCTAGATTTGCTGACTATAAGGAGATTTGTATATGTTAATTAACATTTCTTGCTGTACTTATATAAATAAATCAGGCCAAGATGCAGTGAGAGTAGCTTATGTGTATGTATATTTGTCATCAATAATTTTAGATGTTATGATCATGAGAGGGGACTGTAAAAAAAAAAAAAAAAAGGTATCCAAAATTTGAAAAGAGACAAAAAGGACACAGTGTCATTTTAGTATCCTGCTGAGTGCTGTCTAGCAGGCACTCCTGGGAATTATTTTTTTCTTGAAGGATGTATATCTTTGATTTGCTATTTACTATTGATTAGGTTTTTAAAACAACTCTATAAAGGTAGATTTTAACTTGTAGGAAACTGATAGAAATACAAATAATTCTTGCCTCATAACAGTGAAAATAATTGCATCTAGTAGAGATTCAAATTATATCTGTCCAGAGAAAAGATATCCCCAAAGGTTGGTCTTATCTAACTGCCTTGAATTGGCAATCTTATACAGTCATTCTCTCAGTCACTCTAAATATTTCACTTATTTCATTTCTCTTACAACCAGTTTTACAATCTAGTTGGTTCTCTTATTAATTAAATAAACTTTTTACAGTTACCAAAATAGTATATTGTCTTGTGTCAACCATTGTTTCTAGTGAAATCATTGTTGGCTCTTTTGAAGGTAATCTGGCCTTTTAATCTGGATGCTTTAAAATTTTTTCTCTTCGTGTTCAGTTTTCAGTTTTGCTGTGGTGTGCCTAGTTGAGTTTTTATTTGTAATTATCTTTTGGGGGTTCATAGCACTTCTAGAACTGAGTTTATGTTTTTCATCAGTTTTGGGAAACTCAGCCATATTTTCTTTGACCTGTCTTCCAGGTCACTAATTTTATTGCTATCAGACAAGAATCATTTGGAGTCATTTGGAATTGCTTTGAGTGTCTGTTGTTTTGTTTTGTTTTTAAGATTTTAGTTATTTGACAGAGAGACAGCAAGAGAGGGAACACAAGCAGGGGGAGTGGGAGAGGGAGAAGCAGGCTTCCTTCAGAGCAGGGAGCCTGATTCGGGGCTCGATCCCAGGACCCTGGGATCATGACCTGAGCCGAAGGCAGACGCTTAACGACTGAGCCATCCAGGCGCCCCTTGAGTGTCTGTTTTTATTGTCTATTGTTTCTTTTGATTTTAATTACATTGTCTTGTCTCCTCACATGTCTGGTTATTGTATTGTGTGTCCGACATTGAGTAGGAAAAACAGTAGTTATATTGTGAGATCTGGAATGATGTTGTCTTCCTCTAGAGAAGATAATTGCTTTTGACAAGTGGCTAAAGGCACAGATAATCCCAGATTACCTCACTCCAGTCAAGAATTGAATTAATAGAAGCTGGGCCTGGAAAAGCTGGTATATTTCCAATTCATCTCATCCCCTGAGATGCAGCCTTTATGACCCTCTATTCAGAGCTGGACCTACAGGATATCCCTCCCTCCCCAACTCATCTTTCACTTGGACTCTGAACTCTGGTTTTATTCCCCTTAGTTGTCCCGTAAGTCTATCAGAATTTTTGCTCAGCTTCTCAGCCTATCATCAGCTGCTTCTTAACTGTTAGACAAATGATCCGAGGGGAAGATTAGCCCCAAGCGTGGGACTTATCTTTCTGAGTTTTCTTCTCCTAGGTTTCAGTCCTGTAAATGTTTACTGTCTTGCTTGCATTTTTTATTTCTTAAAAGACAGGCTTTGTGTATTTTGTCCATATAATGTGATGTGTATATCCCCTAGAGAAGGATTTGTTACTTAGAATTTTCAACTTACTTGATCACAGAGTTCTTTTTTTATGGAGGGGGGACCATCTTAAGGAAGAGTTTGGGAAACCTTGATTTAAGGAAAAAACACTTCCAGGGAAGTAACTGCCTTACTGGAATCTGCCAGATGTTCTCGGTAATTGCACATTTTGATTCAACAAACATTTATTAAGTACCTTCTGTGTGCCAGGCTCTATGACCAGGTGTTTTTCAAGTCACATATTCCTGAACCAGACACTATATAGACATTTTTCCGAGCTCCCAGCTTTCCTTCTCCAGTTAACTTTTATGTTAAATGTATGAATGCTTTGAAGTCAGAACTTTCAGGAGTAGGTATTACTCTTTGAACACCTAGTAACTTCTGGTTAATCAAGGTGAATGGTGGCCCCATCTACTAAAGCCACTTCCCCAACCTGAGATTGGGGCTACTCTTCCTATCTTCTCTGACCAACTTCTAAGTAGTTGCTAAGGCATTGTGATTATCTATTTTAATTCTGTAACAACTCCTGTCTTCCCTGTCTATAATAAATTTGGAAGGCTGTATTCTTTAGGCAGTTTTATTTTCATTAAGTTTTCCCCCTTCTTCGCCTGAGTGGCTGAGTCAGTTAATCGCTCGACTCTTTAGTTTTGGCTCGGGTCAGGATCTCGAGGTTGTGGAATTGAGCCCCGTGTCCAGCTCTGTGCTCAGTGCAGAGTCTGCTTCAGATTCTGTCTACCTCTCTCTCTCACACTCGCGTGCAGTCTCTCCTTCAAATAAATAAAGTCTTAAAAAAAAGTTTCCCTCCTCTTTTTTATTGAAAAGATTATGTAACAATATATTTAAGTCTTTTTAATATTTTCATTTTCCCATATATTTGCTTTCTACTTTCTAGAATACAGAATTTTTTTGTCTTGCTATTTTTTACTTAAGATTATAAACATTCTCCTACTTTTTCAAGACATAGTCTTAATAAGTTAACAGCTTTTAAATAGTTTGTTATGTTGATATATCATAATTCAGCAATTTCCCTAATTTTCACATTTAGACTGTTGCCATTTTTTTTCTATTGTAAATAAACTTCAGTGAATATCTTTAAGCATGTAGCTTTTGGTTTTATTGAGTTAGTACAGTAGGATATATTACAAGTGTGGAATTACTTGGATAGAGAGTATAATTGTCTTTATTCATTTTCCACGTAACTATTGCTATCAAAAGACAAATAGCTCTTCACTTAGCTCTAAAATGTCTGTTCTGAATTGTTCTTAATAAGCCACAGTATCTGTAGACCTGCCTCATGCAGGGGCAGCAGTTAGTTCAGCTGGTGGTCATCAGGGTGTTAATTGACTACAGGTTTCCCCTGCTATCCAAAAGTAGAGCCGTTCTTATGAAATCTTTTATAAGCTGAAATGGTGTAAAGCAAAGAAGCAGTTGCCATCAATTTATATGGAAAAATTTTTGAGCACTCCCAGACGCAAAAAATAACTTCTCTTAGGCTCTTCTGATACTTTAGGTCATATCTTACTAATAGGCGCACAAAATAAGTAGAGAGAAAGCACAGATGCTCACAGTTCAAAGCTATGATGGCTTGCTGCTGAGATGCTGAGTGTAGTTCCAGGGAATCGGCAGTGCCACCTTTTACTGCTTGGGGTATGTCCTGACTCTGTAACAGATCACTGCAAAACAGACTGAGTGCTTTTTTTCATAAAAGTGAAAATCCTTTAAAGATTTCTTTCAGTTAGTGAAAACAGTACTAATGTAGGTCTTTTATAAGAAAGCAGTTTTGAAAACTGGGGGATAACTGTATTGTGCTTCCATTAGTGACTTTTATAGAACCATCAGACAATGAGTTTAAAGTTGCTGTACATTCCTTATGTTTCAAACTTGGGGTCCTTTATTTGCTTATCTTATTTCACAGTCTGTGCTGTGCAAGTGCAAAGAGCAGTGTTTAGATGTGATTTAAATGTTTTTTGTTTGTAACTTCATTTCTGTAGATTGATTAAGTTTTCAAGAGACTGCAATATCTTCCTCACTTTTTAAGAAGTTTCAAGAATGATTTGGGAAAAGCAGTAAATTATATTTTATTCTATTACAGGGGAACATTGTCCTTACAGATTATGAGTACCTAATTTTGAATATCCTGAGATTTCGAACTGATGAGTCAGATGATGTTAAATTTGCTGTTCGTGAACGCTATCCAGTCGATCATGCTAGAGCTGCTGAGCCTTTGCTTACCTTGGAAAGGTAACATGTTTTGTTTATAAGCTCATTTCATAATGTATTAGGAGGTAAAATAGGTCAAAGGTCAGAATATGAACTGTCACATAAGAAAATATTTTGTTTACTTGCATACAGTAACTAAATTTGGATTGCTTAAACTACATAAATGTGCATATAAGCAATTAAGCCTCATTTGCAAGTAGCAAATATATGTCTTTTTTTAAAATTTTTAAACATTTTATTTATTTATTTGAGAGAGGGACAGAGAAAGTGAGACAGCACAAGTGGGGTGAGGGGCAGAGGGAGAAGCAGACTCCCCGCTGAGCAGGGAGCCCGATGCGGGGCTCGATTCCAGGACTCCGGGATCATGACCCGAGCTGAAGGCAGATGCTTAACGACTAAGCCACCCAGGCGCCCCGCAAATATATGTCTTTTTAATCTAAGTCTGGTGTTACTTCAGATGTTTATGATTTCTTGGTAAAGTGAGGGGACTTACTAGCTATTCTGTAAGAAGACAGATGTCTATCTTAGGCAGAGTGCAAATGGAAGTGGTTTAGCCAAGAAAAGGGAGTACTGTGGGATAAGGTGCTGATTATAATTATAAAATTATAATGATGAAATGTTTGCAAGAAAATGTAGTGCTCTTCTGGCTGAAAGGTTTTGCTGGCTAATAGCTATAGCAGAGGTTCTGAAAGTGTAACATGCATCCCATTCACCTGGAGGGCTTAATAAAACATAGATTGCTGCCCTTGCTTCCAGTGTCTGATTCAGTGGATCTGGGATCGGCCCAGGAATTTACATTTCTTTTTTTTTAAGATTTTATTTATTTATTTGACAGAGAGAGCCACAATGAGAGAAGGAACACAAGCAGGGGGAGTGGGAGAGGGAGAAGCAGGCTTCCCGCTGAGCAGGGAGTCCGATGTGGGGCTCGATCCCAGGACCCTGAATCGATCCCAGGACCCTGAGATCATGACCTGAGCCGAAGGCAGATGCTTAACGAAGGCAGATGCTTAACGACTGAGCCACCCAGGCAGCCCCAGGAATTTACATTTCTAACAAGTTCTCAGGTTATGTTGATGCTGCTGATCTGGGGACCAGAGGGGCCCACAGCATCGTTAAGAGTTCTTATTAAAGCCATTCCAGGTATTAAGATCTATCACCAGGTTCTACAAACATTTACCTGTTATATAAAAACATCACTTTCCTGTCATGTATGAGCACATTGACAATAAGCAATATGACTTAGTTGAGAAAGTATTGATTTTTCTTAGGAAATTTGGTTTCAGGTCCCAGTCTGCTGCTCAGGAACCTACTACCCTTGGATAAATTACTTTTACAACCCATTTTCTTACCTACAAAGTGAACTAATTCCTCTTGTACTTTAGAGTACCATGATGATCAGGCAATTTGATGTGTATGAAAGTATTGTGAATATGAATATTGCTATAAATATAAGATAGTAAGAGGTGTGTCAATTTTGTTTTCACAGATTGACTGAAATAATAGCCAGTGCACCTAAGGGTGAACTATTGAAGAGAGTTCTTAATCCATTACTTCGTGAGTAATCCTAAATAGAGCAGTGAAATGTTTGCAAGAAAATGTAGTTTTCAGGATTCTCTTATGAAATTAGGAGGCATTAAAAAGTTATCTCTGCAACTTTCCAACTGTTAGTATAGCACACATAAAACTTGTTAAGTTTGGATTTTTTATAAATTTACTCTGTTAACATGATGTATTGCATTAACTAGTTTTTGGATGTTAAAACAATCTTTCATTCCTGATTTATGTCCTTTATATGTGGCTCAATTCCATTAAATTTCTATAACTTATGCACTGACTTCTATAATTGTTTTATAGTCTCAAATATTTATAAGTACTTGAATTGTTATTTCTAATAACATTTCAAAAATAAGTAAAATAATAAAATCTTAAAAAGCAAAATAAGTAAATTGTTATTTTCACTGGCTACTGTTATTGAGTAGATATTTATATTGGGATATAAATTTTGGATTATATTTTGAATGTTAAATTTTATAGGAAAATACTAAAAATGATACCCTCTGCTTTTATAGCCTATGGACCAGCTCTCATTGAACACTGTCTTATAGAAAATGGATTATCTGGAACTGTCAAAGTGGATGAAAAATTTGAAAGTAAAGGTATGCCTGCATGCTACAAGATTTGTCCATTTTTATTTATTTCCTTTTTTAAAAACTATGAAAATTAATTCTGGGAAAATAATAAAAGTGAGCAGGTAGCCGTAACTTAAACTTAAAAGCATTTAACCCGTGAATGTTCTATCCATATGGTATTCCTGGCTTCCTACTCTAATGTGGCACTTTTACTTTTTTTTTTTTCTTTTTAAGATTTTATTTATTTGAGAGAGAGAGAAAGCACAGATAGGAAGAGGAGCAGAGGGAAAAGTAGGCTCCCCGCTGAGCAGGGAGCCCAATGCGGGGCTCAATCCCAGGGATCATGACCTGAGCCGAGGGCAGATGCTTAACTGACTGAGCCACCCAGGCTCCCTGCTTTTCTCCTTTTTAAAGATTTTATTTATTTGGGACAGAATGAGAGAGAGAGCACAAGCTGGGGGCGGGGGGTGCAGAGGGAAAGGGAGAAGCAGACTCCCCGCTGAGCAGGGAGCCTGAGGAGAGGCTTGATCCCAGGACCCCGGGACCATTACCTGAGCTGGAGGTGGATGCTTAATTGACTGAGCCACCCAGGCACCCCTCTAATGTGGCACTTTATCCCTAGTAACTCACAGTTCAGTCTCTGCCTTATTACCTTTCAACTTTAGAATATTCTCTCTTCCTCTCCCTAAATATTTGAAGTGGTTACCAAACTTGATAGTCTCTGTTACAGGCTTGAAGGAGTTGAATTACTCACCTTCTGACTAGGAAGTTGGAGTGCTCTTAGAAATAGCATTATTCATGCATTTTAATTCTGTAAGAACTGTAATGTAGCTATGAGATGAATTAGGCCTTTGTAATTACTTAAAGGAACCTAACTAAATTGCCAATTAGGATAATAAAAATTAGAGGAAATATAAGGGAAATGGAAGACTTGGTTTTTGACAGATTTATATGCAGATTCTCATGTAAAATTTTTAAAGTCATTCTTCACGTTTGTATTTTGGGGTTATATGTAATTTAAGCTTTAGGGATAGTAATTTTTATGCTGTAAATGTTTTTATGTTTAAAAATACAAGTTAAATGTTTTAGTGAATGATTTAGTATTTAAAATACTAATTCGTAGTGCAATCCTGATCAAAATGCCAACAGGTGGTATTGTTTTTGCAACTCTAGTGTTTTGTTTCAAATATGATATTCTTGTGGAATAAAAGCATGTGAAAATGTTCAGGAAAACTGGAAAATAATAGTAATGATGGAGAATAGCCCTTTCATAGATTAAAATATATTAAGAACCTAACAGTAAGTTTTTGAAGAAATACAAAATAAAGAATTCAGAAACAGGCCCAAATATATATGGAAATTTAGTATATGAACAAAATACCTTTACCATCATGAGGGGAAAAATGATTCAGTAAAAAGCTGTTGGGATCACAAGGTGGCCAAAACATATTCTTAATTACATCTACTGATTACAAACATGAAATAACTGTATCTACTTTTCTTGAACATTTTTTACTATTGCATCAGCACTTTTCTGTTTGCTACATGGTTGTTTAATAGTTGTTAATTGACACTTGATTTTTTTCCATTTTTATTCTGTTAGATATTGAAAAAGTACTTGTTTGTCTGCAGCAAGCAGAAGACTATATGAAAACAACATCCAACTTCAGTGGAAAGGTAGCACCACATATACTTATTGTATATTGTTGTGGTTTTATTTATTTAGATTTTCAGAATTTAAAGTTCATTAAGGATCACTACATGTAAGTTTTTTGTTGTAATTTGGAAATTCAACATCTATAATATGCTTATTCTAGGGTTTTTTGTTTTTTTAAATTGCTGTTGGGTTTATAATTTTTCTTCTGTTTCTTTTATAGGAAGTATTAGGTGAAGTCATTATTGTTATACCAGGAAAGTTGAGGGATTTGAAAATATATCCTCTTAGGTTGATTTTTAGATAGAGAAGCATGTTTTAATTTACCAGCACTTTTTAAAAAATTGGTGATTTACATCACTCAATTTTTTATATTAAAAAAATTTTTTTTAATTTAAATTCAATTAACCAGCATATAGAACATCATTAGTTTCAGATGTAGAGTTCAGTAATTCGTCAGTTGCATATAACACCCAGTGCTCATCATACCACGTGCCTTTCTTAAAGCCCGTGACCCAGTTACCCCATTCCCCCACCCACCTTCCCTCCAGCAACCCTCAGTTGCTTTCCCATAGTTAAGCTTCTCTCCTAGTTTGTCTCCCTCTCTGATTTCTACCCATTCCGTTACATCACTCTAATAGGTAAACATCCTCTGAATTATCTCATACCTTCTTTTTCTTCCCTATTGGAAGTATAACTTTATAACAGAAGTTCAGAAAAAGTTCTGAGTAATTATACCTAAATACAGTGCAAATATCCTGCCTAGTTTTTTAAATAAATTAAAATTTCCTACCAACAAAGTGAATCTAAGATTTTTTCTGCTGGAAGTAAAATGCTTTTGGTTGTTTTAAGTTGCAGAACATCTAAAAATGGAAAGAAAAAAGCATAGTGCACATGTATAATCCCACCACTTTATTAAATCACTAGTTTTCATTTTCTTCCTTATTTTTTCTTGTCCATATGAAAAAAAAACAGTATTATTTAATAATACTTAGCCTAGAAACATCATTTGAGAATTGATACACACAGTAGACAAATGCAGCAGATTATTTAAAACTGGAATAATTTTATAAGTTAAATTAATAAAATTTGTATCAGAAATGGAAAGTAAATCTTTGTTAACTATGAAGAGAGAGAGTTTTAATACTGGATTTTTGTAGGGGTACATCATTCAGAAAAGAGAAATAAAACCAAGCTTGGAAGTTGATAAACCGACTGAAGACATATTCACGTAAGCATGTAGGCGTGAGTCAGTTTGCTTTGGATGTTTATTCATGTTCTCGAATGATATAATAAATATGTTTTGCAGGTATGAGGAATTTCATCCTTTCTTGTTTTCTCAACATTCACAATGTCCATATATAGAATTTGAATCATTTGACAAGGTGGGTTTTCCAGCTCTTGTTTTTTTGACCGGTTAGCACGATATGAGTTATTAAATTAATACCAACTTACTTTGATTGATAAATTGAAAATATTTTTGGTTTACGATCACTGAATCTGGGCATTAAAGATCAATGCAGTCACAATAAAAACTATTGGAAATTTTTGTTGCCATTTTATTTCAAGATGAAGGACCAAAGATTTTAACTTAATTTGATTGTCTGTTTAGCTATATGATACATTTACTGGGAATCTGTTCAAGTTCTTTGAGTAGTGTTATAACACAAAATGGACTCTAAAATTCTATGTATATAAGTTGAAGTAGAGACCATGTTTTTTTTTTAAACTAGTTACTATCTTTTTTTTTTTTTTTTTTTTTACTAAGGCTGTGGATGAATTTTATTCCAAGATAGAAGGTCAGAAAATAGATTTAAAAGCTTTACAACAGGTATGGTATTGCTGAAAACATTTATATTAAACCAGCTAGCCTTAGTGTGGTTTTGTGTGGATGATGCTTTCATAATAGGAATGGGCAGCCTTTCAGAAGTAGTATGGGAATGCCCTGATCCCTTGGTTTATTGATAAAGGTACAGGGGAGGTCTCATTGTTGAAAAGCATTCCCTCATTTGTTCCATCAGTATGTCAGATATTCTCCAAAACGGAAAATACAGTGGGAACGTGAGGCCTGTTATTTATTCCCTAGTATAATTTGTGTTACTGCAGCAACCCAAAGCTTCCCAAACTTTGCTATGAAAGAAATACTCTTCTGAGGAGATTTTTATATAGGCCAAAAGAGAGGGAAATGTCCTTTCTTTACAAATAATCATATTTATCATTAAACTGTTTATTTCTAAGTGGGCTTTCTAACTCCACAGGAGAGTTTAATATGCTCTGTTTCCCTAGCACATTTGACCATGTTTTTGGAGCATTGCTGCAGAACAGCTTCAGAAATCAGCCACACTCTTGATTTGAAATTGATTTGATTTTTCAAAAATATTGATAAGTAAAGTCTTGAAATATGTGTGCAAAAATTTGGAATTATGTGAATCCCTATACCCTCCCCCTGTTATAAAAAATTAACAGCACAGGGGCACCTGGGTGGCTCAGTCGTTAAGCATCTGCCTTCAGCTCAGGTCATGATCCCAGGGTCCTACGATTGAGCCCCGCATCGGGCTCCCTGCTCGGCGGGAGGCCTGCTTCTCCCTCTCCCACTCCCCCTGCTGGTGTTCCCTCTCTTGCTGTGTATCTCTCTGTCAAATAAATAAAATCTTAAAAAAAAAAAAAAAATTAACAGCACAATGTCAAAGCATGTGGGTTGAATGAATTAAGTAGTGTGACTGCCACATGGTGGCAGCACATGAACTAGTAACCATATTTCGTGGGCACATTGAATGGCATGTTTTTATGTGCATCAGAATATCCATGAATTATTTTAGTGATCACTGTGTTCTTTTAATAGTCACTGTTCTTTTTTTTTTTTTTTAAAGATTTTATTTATTTGACAGACACAACGAGAGAGGGAACACAAGCAGGGGCAGTGGGAGAGGGAGAAGCAGGCTTCCCGCTGAGCAGGGAGCCCGATGCGGGGCTCGATCCCAGGACCCCGGGATCATAACCTGAGCCGAAGGCAGATGCTTAACAACTGAGCCACACAGGCGCCCCTGTTCTTTTTTTTTTTTTAATTTTAAGATTTTATTTATCAGAGAGAGCATGAGAGCATAAGCAGGGGGAGGGGCAGAGGGAGAGGGAGAAGCAAACTCCCTGCTGAGAAGAGGCCCAATGCGGAACTCGATCCCAGGACCCTGATATTATGACCTGAGCCGAAGGCAGATACTTAACCGACCAAGCCACCCAGGCGTCCCCTTTTATTAAAATTTTTTTTCTTAAGATTTTATTTATTTATAGCCACCATTCTTATAATTCAGATTTTTTAAACATTACATCCAGCATTCAAACATTCATTAATTAGTGATGCTATTACTAGTGTTAGAAAATTTGTTCCAAATCAATAACCTTGAAAGGTAAATGATACATGATAAAATGCTTTATAGAAGGTAAATTAACTACCATGAGCCTTTGTGGCATTAATTTAGGAAAAAGAGTACTCTGTAGAAATGATGATGAGAAAATTAAAAGCAGCAATAAAATAAAAAGAAGCTATTTTGGTAATTTATGTTCGTTAAGAATGCATTTCCCCAAAACATTACTTTTATGTGATAGGAAGACAGTGTCTTGAATTATGCCTTCTTGAATAATGCAAGGGCATTAGGGGCACATATTACATACAATATAACCTATAATCAAAATACCTTCCTATATAGGGAATGGGAGGTAGGTAGTTGGGAGAGGTAGTTTGAGAGCATGAAGCACTTTGGGGTAGGATAGACCTGAGAGGTGGAGTATGGGAATCTTAGCTAGCAAGGTGACAACATTGAGGGGGCTGAAGTGGAGGTGGGATAGTGAGTTTCAGGACGAAAGAGAAAAAGTGTAAGAGGCATGAGAAATCGAAGTTTTTAAAAATCCGTTTTGTCTACAAAAGGAAAAACAAGCATTGAAGAAATTAGATAACGTCCGAAAGGATCATGAAAACCGATTAGAAGCTCTTCAACAGGCTCAGGTATTATGTTTAGCTTTTTCAGATTTCAAAAATGGTAACTTTAAATGTAACACTGTGTGTTAACTAAGTGGAATTAAAATAAAAACTGAAAAGATGGTAACTTTAACTGGCATTATAGTAAACATTTTTGTTTATTTCTTAAGGAAATAGACAAACTTAAAGGAGAGCTCATAGAAATGAACCTACAAATAGTTGACAGAGCCATTCAGGTTGTTCGAAGTGCTTTAGCCAACCAGATAGATTGGACGGAAATCGGGTTAATTGTGAAAGAAGCCCAAGCTCAAGGAGACCCTGTTGCAAATGCAATTAAAGAATTAAAACTACAAACAAATCATGTTACAATGCTACTAAGGTAAGTTTGATTCTTAGTTAAGCAGTTCATGATTGTTTTTATTTTGCTGTTTAATTGTTCACTGTATTCATTTAAAATTTTTTCTCTTTTATTTGGAAATTTATCCTCAAAGATACAGGAAAAAACAATTTACATTAAGATAATGCAGCTATTTAATTTTTTTAAAAGATTTTATTTAGAGAGCGAGAGAGTACCAGCATGCGCATGAGTGCCCGTGGGGTGGGGGGAGAAGGAGAGAGACTCTGAAGCAGCCTCCACGCTGAGCTTGGAGCCCCTCATGGGGCTCGGTCTCATGACCCTGAGATTACAACCTGAGGCAAAACCAAGAGTTAGACACTTAACCGACTGTGCCACCCAGGTGCCCCCCAAAAATGCACCTATTTAAATATTGTAAACAGTCTATAATGTCATTGAGGAAAAAAAAGTGATGTCATTGACATTAGTGAAATACTATTGAATATTTTTAATAGAAATCCATACTTGTTATCAGAGGAGGAAGATGACGATGTTGATGGTGACATCAGTGTTGAAAAAAATGAAACCGAACCACCAAAAGGAAAAAAGAAAAAACAAAAGAATAAACAGCTGCAGAAGCCTCAGAAAAATAGGCCATTACTTGTTGATGTTGATCTCAGCTTGTCAGCATATGCCAATGCCAAAAAGTAAGTGTTAAATTTAAGTATGAATTGTAGGTAAAATATCTGCAATAAATCAGTTAGGATATTAAGGATAATATATGTATATATATATTATGTATGTTTGTGCTTTTGGGTGAAAACACTTTTTTAAATCTCATTTTGTGCATTATACAACTTTATTTTCATAGAGAACATATAAAACAAAGTTGCATAATGCACAAAACTTGTTCTGTATGATTTAAGAATCTAAAATTAGATAAAACATAAATAGAAAGCTAAAGAATAAAGATTTGACTTAAAATTAAGAGAAATATATTTTTCTAGATACTATGATCACAAGAGGTATGCTGCTAAGAAAACACAAAAGACCGTTGAAGCTGCTGAAAAGGTACTTAATATCTCTTAGAGTGAACATGAATTGTTTTTCTCTGCTTTAACTTAATGGCCTTAATTATTTCTTCTGTTTAAATGAGGTTTTCTAATTCACAGATATCTTTCAGGTTTAATTTTGCTTTAAATATGTGTATTTCTGGTATTTATTTTCTTCCCTGAACTTCCTTCCCAGTCTTCCCTGTCTTGGTAAATAGTGCCTTCTTTTTTCCCTTTAGTTAGGTTAAAAATGCTGGACTCATCCTAGACCCTTTGCTCATAAACCGTATCCATTCCCTCATCAGCATATCCTTGTAGCTTTTCCTATAGGGTGTAACCAGAATCTGACCACTACTCATTAGTCCAGGCCCTCATCATCTCTGTTCACATGGATTGTAACAGTAACCTCTTCCTGGGTCTCTCTTCTTCTACCCTTTTCCCCCTGCAGTCTGTTCTTCATTCAGCAGCCATAGTGATCTTTTAAAACAAAAGATGAAGTTATTTCTCTCTGTTCAAAATCCAGTTGCTTCCCATCTTAAGACAGATTAGGGGCTCCTGGGTGGTGCAGTCCATAAGCGTTGGACTCTTATTTTTGGTTCAGGTCATGCTCTCAGGGTCGTGAAATTGAACCCTGTGTTGGGCTCCATGCTCAGCCTGGAGTCTGCTTGGGTTTCTTTTCTCCCTCTCCTTCTGCTCCCCACCCCATCTCCCCCTAACCCTTGCCCGCTCTTTCTCTCTCAAATAAATTAAAACCAAGGGGCGCCTGGATGGCTCAGTTGTTAAGCATGTGCCTTCGGCTCAGGTCATGATCCCAGGGTCCTGGGAACGAGCCCCGTATCGGGCTCCCTGCTTGGTGGGAGGCCTGCTTCTCCCTCTTCCACCCCCTCTGCTTGTGTTCCCTCTCTTGCTGTGTCTCTCTCTATCAAATAAATAAAATCTTTAAAAACAAAAAAACAAAACAAAACCAAGACAGTTCAAAGCCCTTCTCTTGCCCTATAAGGCCCTACATGATCTGCTCCCCTCCCATCTAATCACCTACACTCCTCTTATTAACATTCTTTCTAGCTACACTGGGATCTTAGCTGTTCCTGCAACAGTGACTGATACTGCCTTCTCAGGGCATTTGTGCTTGCTGCTCTTTCTGTTGAGAATGTTCTTCCCTCAAAATTTCCATGGTTTGATCCCTCCATTCATTGGCATGTCTACTAAAATGAGGCTTTATCAGAGAGTCCTTTCTTGACCACTCTTACTAAAAATAGTACTACCCTCAATCACTCCCTCTTTGCTTTATTTTTTCCTTAAAAAACACCCTTCCCAATTAAAAAAAAAACACCCTTCCCAACATATGTTTATCTGTCTTCCCTCTAGAAAGTAGATTGTATGAAAGTAGGATCTTTGTTCATTACTTTGTCCCAGTCCCTAGAATATTGCCTAGAACATAGTAACATTAATATCTGTTAAATGAGTGGCCTTCATGACTTGGCCCTCTATCTGCCTCTTCAACCTCATTTCTTGACATTTTATCTTGTGATCACTACTTTGTGGTCAAGCTGGCCTTTTTTTTTTGCTTACAGTGATCTTCTTCATATTTTAGCCATGATAATTCTGTTAACCCTTCAGGCTTCAGCCCAAATGCCATTTCCTCAGAAATACCTTCTTTGACCATAAGCAGTTATAAATTAGGTTCCCTTGTTATACTCTCATAGCATCCCTAGAAGCACTTAACATATGTTTATTTGAATAATTATGTGTTTTATATTCGTATCTTCTCCTAGACCCCCTGGTGGGGTTGGGGTGAGAACTGTCTTGTTCACTTGTGTGTCTCAGCATCTAGTCCAGAACCTATTATATGGTATGTACTCAGTATCTGGTAAACAAATTGATACTTTTTGTTATTTGTGGGTCTTGAGCAAATATTTGTATGCGGCAAATCCTTGACTTAAATCATTTTAATATTTAAGGCAAAAATCTTTTCTTCATTTCTTTCATGTGGGTATGGGGTGTGTGTGTAAATGGTGCCATTTTGTGACATTTAAAAATAATTTCTTGCCCTGTCATTTACTTGGTGTTTATTTATATTTTATTATTATTATTTTTTTTTTTTGAGAGAGAGAAAGAAAGAATGCATATGCTCCTGTGCACGTGGGGGGTGGGAGGAAGAGGAGCAGAGAGAGAGGGAGAGAGAATCAAGCAGGCTCCACGCTCAGCGCCGAGCTCAATGCAGGACTTGATCTCATGACCTTGAGATCATGACCTGAGCTGAAATCAAGAGTTGGATGCTTCACCAGCTGAGCCACCCAGGCACCCCTTACTTGGTGTTACTAAAATGTGTTCTTAACAAATTATTTAAAAAGTCTCTTCTTATAAATAGGCATTTAAATCAGCAGAAAAGAAAACAAAGCAAACCTTAAAAGAAGTCCAAACAGTTACCTCTATTCAGAAAGCAAGAAAAGTATATTGGTAAGTGTTCTACCTTTTAAAAATAGTTTTTTGTTTTTATTAAAATTATACATGCACATTGTTTAGAAAATGAAGCAGTTCTACAAAGCTTGTTGCAAAAACTAGTACCCCTGCAATATTTTATCCCTCCTCTCCATAGAAACTGTTACCTCCTCTCCATAGAAACTATTTTTAGCTCTTTTAGCTGATTACTTTTGGTATATACCCCCTTTTCTCTTAGTAATATCCTTATATTGCTGCTGCTTAATTTTTCTGTTTTATACTCTATTAATGACTTCCCACTGTCTAAGATGAAGATTTTATTCTTTCCTCCTGTGCTCCATTACACACATATACACTCAGCCTCCCAGTAAAGGTATAGCATAATTTGCCACGGTTGATATTCAGCATTAATATTATACTAATATTTTAATTGTAGTCACAGCTGAGTCATATAACATTACGTTTCTTTTTCTTCCCTGCTCAGCTTTTTGTCTTCCCTGAAGGTAATAATTGTCGTTTCATTTACCTTCCTCTTCCAAGTGTGTTCAGACACATTGGAATTCTATCAGTATCATCTTGCAGAAGTCTCTCCTGAGCTTTTTGATTTGACCTACTTTGTTCTAGATCAGTTACTCTTAACATCTTAAGATCTTCTTTTATTTTTATCCTGAAAATTCTCTTTTCCCCTCTCTGTTGGATTCTCTGTCCTTCATTTCATACTTCCTTTTTCTTCGTTGATGGAATATATGCCCTAGAGGCTGCAGGAGAAGGGGTGTATAAAATGTAAAGTTTTTGAGGTCTTCAATATATTAAAAAATTATTTTTACCCTTATACCTAATTGTGTGACTGGCTATAGATTCTAGTTTGAAAATGTTTTCTTCAGACTTAAAAAGTCATTGTTCATTGTGTTAACTTTCAGATTTGATCTTTAAAAGTCTGATGTCATTTTGATAGTTACATTTTATTGAAAATTTGTTTTTGCCTTTCTGTAAACTTGTAGATCTTTCTTCTCTCAGTTTTCCAAAATTTCACAATGATGTAGGTTGGTGAAGATGTTTTAATCTATTATGCTGGATACTCTGTGAGTCTTTTTAATTTAGAAACTTTCAGTTCTGAGAAATTTTCTTGAAATATTTTGTAGCACTCTGTGGATTGCATTTTTCTTTTTGGTTTTCTTTCTTTTTTTTCTTTCCTTCTGGAAGTCTTATTTATTAAATATGGGACTCCTTGGATGGTCCTCCAATTTTCTTGCATTTTCTGTTTTTCAACTCTTTTTGTTCTATAATCTGAGAGATTTCTTTATCTTTCAATTCCCCCTGAATTTTTAAACGTTTTATTCCTTCCTGTCATGTTTTTATTTTAATCTGTTTTTGTTTTTTGTTACTTTTTAAAAACTTCCTGCTTCACTTTCTTTATACTGAGAATAATTTTGATGTATTAATTTTATTTAAGAGTACTCTTTTCTTGCAGGTCTTCTCTAAGATTTTTGGTTTTGGTTTTGGTTTTTTTTTAATTTGCTGGGTTTGTCTTCAGCTTTTGTTAAAGACTTTTGTTAATGTCTGGTAATCCTGAATTGTCTGTTCACATTATTGTCCGTTCACATTTTATAGTAGAGTATTAAAATGCTGACTGGAAGTTTTCTCTGGGTGTTTGGGCTTATGAGATGATGTATGTGGGCCATGTTGTGTGGAACTCTAAATGTCTTTAGCTTTTTGACTCTTAAGCTGGTCTCATTTCTCAGGAAAGACTTTTTTCCCCTGCTTGGAAAGTGAAAACCTGGCTGTCATAATTTTGGAAGTCCAATAGGAATAGATTGGGGAGGCTTAGTATCCAGTAATCCATACATTTACTTAATTGCTCTGTTTTACATATGTTACCTCTACTTAGAACTGTGCCACTTTTCCCCTAATTCAGAGATACTCTTTGTACACTTCCTAGAGAATTAACTTCTGGCCTTCTGTTAGGATGTGGAAGGGGCAGCTTACTACCATGTTCAGAGCTGGAAAGAAGATCTAGGGAAGTAACTGCTTCTTGAGCAGATTTTTGGCCAGTTCTCCCGTTTTTAACCCCATCTTAAACCCTATTTCTAGCAGTACTTTGTACTGCTATTTTAAGCTTTTTATGGGTTACACAGTGTATATTGATTTGATTCTTGGCTTTTTCCATTGTCAGCCTTGATTTCAGCTTTTTTTTTTTATTATGTTAGTCACCATACGTTACATCATTAATTTTTTTTTTTTTTTTTTTTAGATTTTATTTATTTATTTATTTGAGAGAGAGAGAGAAACAGCATGAGAGGGGATAGGGTCAGAGGGAGAAGCAGGCTCCCTGCTGAGCCGGGAGCCCGATGTGGGACTCGATCCCAGGACTCCAGGATCATGACCTGAGCTGAAGGCAGTCGCTTAACCAACTGAGCCACCCAGGCCCCCACATCATTAGTTTTTGATGTAGTGTTCCATGATTCATTGTTTGCGTATAATACCCAGTGCTCCATGTAATAGGTGCCCTCCTTAATACCCATCACCAGGCTAACCCATCCCCCCACGCCTGTCCCCTCTAAAACCCTCAGTTTGTTTCTCGGAGTCCATAGTCTCTCATGGTTCGTCTCCCCCTCCGATTTCCCCCCCTTCGTTTTTCCCTTCCTTCTCTTAATGTCCTCCATGCTATTCCTTATGTTCCACAAATAAGTGAAACCATATGATAATTGACTTTCTCTGCTTGACTAATTTCACTTATCGTAATCTCCTCCAGTCCCATCCATGTTGATGCAAATGTTGGGTATTCATCCTTTCTGATGGCTGAGTAATATTCCATTGTATATATGGACCACATCTTCTTTATCCACTCATCTGTTTAAGGGCATCTCGGCTCTTTCCACAGTTTGGCTGTTGTGGACATTGCTGCTATGAACATTGAGGTGCATAAGGCCCTTCTTTTCACTACATCTGTGTCTTTGGGGTAAATACCCAATAGTGTAATTGCTGGGTCATAGGGTAGCTCTATTTTTAATTTTTTGAGGAACCGCCACACCGTTAGATCTTGTTAGATCTTCTTGTTGGATAGACCCTTTAAGAATGATATAGTGTCCTTCTGTGTTTCTAACTACAGTCTTTAGCTTAAAGTCTAATTTGTCTGATATGAGAGCTGCTACCCCAGCTTTCTTTTGAGGTCTGTTGGCATGAATGATGGTTCTCCATCCCTTCGCTTTCAGTCTGGATGTATCTTTAGGTTCAAAATGAGTCTCTTGTAGACAGCAAACGGATGGATCCTATCTTTTTATCCATCTGCAGCCCTGTTCCATTTTATGGGAGCATTTAGGCCATTCACGTTGAGAGTGATTATTGAAAGATATGATTTTATTGTCATCATGTTGCCTGTGAAGTCCTTGTTTCTATAGATTGTCTCTGTAAATTTCTGTTCTGTATCACTCTTGGGGTCTTTCTCCTTTTATAGAACCCCCCTCCCTTAATATTTTCTTGCAGGGCTGGCTTAGTGGTCACATATTCTTTCAGTTTCTGCCAGTCCTGGAAGCTCTGTTAGATTTCAGTTTCTTGAGTCCAGTCACTTGATTGATTTTTCCATTTCTCAAAATGCTGTTGCATTTTTCTTCTCTCTTTCTCCTTTCTTTTCCTCACATCTCTGTTGATGAATAGGATAGACCTGTAATTTTCATTTCTTCATAATGTTCTTTTTAGGATTGGTCTCAAGGTAACATTATCTCATAAAACAGATTGGGAAGTATTCCTTTATTATTTTTTTAAAAGATTGTATTTATTTATTAGAGAGAGGGAGAGTACAAACGGGGGGAGTGGCAGAGAGAGAGGGAAAGAGAAGCAGACTTCCTGCTGAGCAGAGAGCCCGATGTGGGGCTCCATCCCAGGATCTGGAGATCATGACCTGAGCTGAAGGCAGACGCTTAACTAACTGAGCCACCCAGGCGCCCCTGGGAAGCATTCCTTTATCAGTTGTCCTTGGATGTTTGACAAAATTCCACCTTTGAAGCTGAGTAGTCTTGAAGTTTTCTTTATGGGAAACTTTTTCACTATAGATTCAGATTCTTTAGTACTACTCAGATTGTCTAATTCTGGTTGGTAGTATCTTCCTAAAACTGTCTATTTCTAAAGTTTGGAATGTACTGCCATAAAATTATAATATTCCACTTAACTTTTTAACATCCTTATGTTCTTTAATAGCCTTCCCTTTTTATTTATGATAGATGTTATTGTGCCTTCTCTTTTTCTTGATTAGTCTGACCAGAGGATTTTCAGTTGTATTAATCTTTCAGGAACCAGTTTTGACTGTTGATCTCCTCTATTATATATGTGGTGTATATTTTATTATTTTCCTCTTTCTACTTTTCTTGAAGATTCATTTGCATTTCCCTTTCTGATTTCTTGAGATGGAAACTTAGTTCACTGATTTTTTTTTTTTTCTCCCAGCCTCTTTTCTTTTCTAATATGTATTTCAGGCAGTAAATTTCCTTCTAAGCCTGGCTTTAACTTTATTTAAAAAGTTTTGTTATATTGTATTTTCATTATATTTCATGTGAAAATATGTTCTTGTGATTTCTTCACCCATGTGTTATTTAGAATTATGTTATTAATTGCCAAGCCTATGGAGCTTTTTTTTTTTAAATTATGTTAGTCACCATACATTACATCATTAGTTTTTGATGTAGTGTTCCATGATTCATTGTTTGCGTATAACACCCAGTGCTCCATGCAATATGTGCCCTCCTTAATGCCCATCACCGGGCTAACCCATCCCCCACCCCCCTCCCTTCTAAAACCCTCAGTTTGTTTCTCAGAGTCCATAGTCTCTCATGGTTTGTCTCCCCCTCCGATTTCCCTCCCTTCATTTTTCCCTTCCTACTATCTTTTTTTTTTTTTTTTTTAAACATATAATGTATTATTTGTTTCTGAAGTACAGGTCTTTGATTGATCAGTCTTACACAGTTCACAGCCTATGGAGCTTTTTTAGTTCTCTTTTTGCCATTGATTTCTAACTTAATTTGCATAATGTTCAGAGATGGTATTCTGAATTATCTCAACCTTTTGACATTTGTTACTGAAACTTGCTTTATGGTACAGCATATTTGTGGTCCACTTTATTTATAAATGTTTCATACGTAGTTGAAATGAGCGTTTTATAGTTGAGTGCATTTCTCTAAATATCAATTAGGTCGCATCCATTAATTACGTTCAAATTGTTGGCATCTTTACTAATTCTTTTTTTAATGATTGTTTTCTCAGTCACTGAGAGTTGTGTTAAGAATCACATAATTGTGCATTTGTTTGTTTCTCCTTTTACTTCTGCTAGTTTTTGCTTTATATATATGAGGTGATAAAAATATAGAGCTGTTATCTTTCCAGTGAATTGAGCCTTTTATTAACTGCAATCGAATGTTCTTTTAACTTGTAACTTCTTTTTCCCTTCTGTGTGAGATATTAAAACTAAATCAACTTTATTTTGGTTAGTGTTTGCATGATATATCTTGTTCAATCATTATATTTCAAACATTTTATATTCTTATATTTTAAAGGAATATACATATTATTTTCCAGTCTGACAGTCTGCATTTTATGTGGAGAATTGACTACATTTACATTTAATGCAATTTCTGATACATATGGGTTTAAATCTAACCATTTTACTATTTGCTTTCTATTTGTTCCATTTGTTCTTTACTCTTGTTTTTCTGCCTCCTTTTAATTTTTTTTCCTTTTACTTATATGCTCCTTTACTAAGATGATTACAGAATACATCCTTATGTTTCTCATTTTCTGTCTTTGTAAGTTTGTCGTTTTAGAAACCTCTTTATCATCAATAGGGCAGTTGTTAAATAAGTATAGTACATCCATTCAGCAGTGAAGACTTTTTTTTTAAAGATAGTATTTTTAAGTAATCTCTACACTCACCATGGGGCTCGAACCCACAACCCCAAGATCAAGAGTCACATGCTCCACCAACTGAGCCAGCCAGGTGCCCCAAGAAGACATTTTTAAGTGAAAAAAGAAAGCATTTTCAGAATAGTTTGTGTTGTGTCTAAAAGAAAAGGTTTACAATAGGCATTTTATTCTAGCTTTTGTATGTATAAAGAAACTCCAGAGAGGGAAACAGAAAGCTAATAACAATGGATTCCTGTTTGGTAGTGGTAATAGGACTGAAAGAGGATGCAGGATCTCTCACCATACCTTTTGTATAATTTTTAAAATTTCTGAACTGTGTATATGTATTAATAAAAAATCAGATTAGAAAACAGGGATAATTTTGGGAGATATAAAGGAGTTTAGTTTAATGCCTGTGCTTAATCTATCATTTTTAACCAGAAGGTTTTAAATTGTAGATTAAGTCATAAAGATTATCATCTTGGTAGTCAGGTGTAATATAGGAAATACTTCTATTCATCTCTGTGTCATTTTCTAAATGTCATACAAATACACTCTTTACTTTTTATCATGATGGTACATATTAATCATGAAAACCCAAATTATTTTGTCCCTTGAGAAAAGTTATAATTTTATACTTCTAAAGGTAATTTTTGCTCTATAAAAAAAGTATAAAGAATATCATATATGTAAACATTCAGTTGAAGACAGAATGGGAAAACTTTTCTTTCTTACCAGTAGCCCCAAAACCTAGCCAGTGCCCCACAGAGGGACCATGTGACGTTTTACGCTTTTGCTTTGTGTAATTCATTGTTGTGTTAACCTTGAGTTTAAGAAGGCTCTGTATGAGAGTGAGATAAGGAGAGAACATACTTTTTTTAAACGTAGAATTTAATTATTCTCTTCTAAAGACTATCCTAAGGCAATTTGCATTACAAAATTTTAGTAAAATTCAGTTTGATGCTTTAAGAAATTAAACCATCAATTTGCCTTAACATATGAAGGTAGGATAGCTTCATGGGTTTTTTTGGTTGGTTTGTTTGCAAAAAGGATGTGAATTCAGGTGACTGTAAAGGAAAAGAATGTTAACTTTTTTTCTTTCAATTTGATAGGTTTGAGAAATTTCTGTGGTTCATTAGCTCAGAGAACTATCTAATTATAGGTGGACGAGATCAGCAACAGAATGAAATAATTGTGAAAAGATACTTGACAACAGGTAAGTAAGATTAAAATTTAAAGATTAAAATCCTAAGTAATTGGATCAGTTATCTCAGTATGAGATATAGATTTTCATCTTACAGTCCTTTGCTTGACAGGTTTAATTGGTAGGAAGAGTTTCATCTTGGTGGCTTATGGTTTGTTGAATATGTGCTTTGACGCTTATTTCTCATTTTAAGTGAATAGTCCTAAAGTAGTAGTACTGACCTACTCTGTAGTATTGGAATTTTGATTCTCTGCTACATTGACAAAATAGCTTTCAGTCCTCCAAAGTCATGTACGTCAGAATTTTAAAGGCTTAATTTTTTAGTGCTGAAGGTTGTAACTTTTTTTCACATTTAGAAACAGGACTTAAGCCCTGTGGTGTAAGGCTTCTCATTTATTTTTGTTTGCTGATAACTACCACCTCACTGTGGTTGAACCCGCAGTGTGGGTATCTGAAATCAGTAATCAAAGATAATCTGATGTCCACTGAAGATCCCAAGCCAGGAAAGAAAGCAGCAGGGAACAGGTTATTATAATGGTGCTCAGGGTTTGGTCTCTTGTCTTCTGTAGCTCTGTTCATTGTGAGCTGAGCCTTTCTTGGAGCAGTATGGGTTTTTCTGTTCTTTGAGTTTCAAATCCCGGATGAACTGTCATGGCAAGCAGTGGCTGCTCATTTTACCTTTCAGGAACTATGCACTTCCCTTTTCCCTTAAAAAAAGAGGAAAGATCTCACTTCCGCATTTCTTTGTTCATTTGGTTATTCATTGGTATCACATACTTAGAATACAATCAAGGCCCTCATTGTTGGCTTACAAGCCTCCTGGCTTCTTCTCCAGCCTCATTTCTTACTACTCTTCCCTTAGTCTGGCCTTCTGACTGCTCTTTATACATGTCAAACATCCATGGTCCTCAGGACCTTTACATTTGCTAGGATGAGTCATCTGCTCCATGTGTCTCTCACCCTCCAGCAGGTTAGCCTAGATTGGTTTACATGGTAACTCAACAAGTTTGAGAGAAAAAGAGGAAGCGCACAAGGACTATTAAGGCCTAGGCTGAGAATTGGCACTTGGTCACAGCTGCCACATTCTGCCAGGGCAGGTCATAGGGCAGGCCCAGATACGAGGGATGTGACTCCACCTCTTGAGCAAAGAGGTGTAGATCGCAGGGGAGAGAGGATCTGACCATTTTTGTAATCTACCATATTAGCATTGCTTTCCTATAAGGAAGCTTGTGAGAGCCTCCCCAGGGGTGGGAAATGGACTTTTCCTTATATGCCTTCTTATACCCTTTGGATTTTGAACCCATTAAGCCCATTTAAAAAGAAAGAAAGAAACAGGACTTAAAGTATTATTTCTCATCTGTTTTTAAGGGGACATTTATGTACATGCTGATCTTCATGGAGCTACTAGCTGTGTAATTAAGAATCCAACAGGTAATATATTTCTTTTTATTATTCAGAACTTTAATTCCTTTCTTTAAAATATTTTTAGTATAACTAAGACAAAAATTGTTAATAGAGATAAAGGACACTTTATAATGATAAAAGGGTCAATTCATCAATAAGATATAACTATTCTATATATATATATTTTTTAAGATTTTATTTATTTATTTATTTGTCAGAGAGAGAGAGACAGAACACAAGCAGGGGGAATGGCAGGCAGAGGGAGAAGCAGGCTCCCCACTGAGCAAGGGGGCCAATGTGGGACTTGATCCCAGGACCTGGGGTCATTACCTGAGCCAAAGGCAGACACCGAACCGACTGAGCCACTCAGGCGTCCCCATCACTAAGATATAACTATTATAAACATATATGCACCCAACAGCTTCACTGGTGAATTCTACCAAACTTTTAAAGAAGATTGAACACAAATCCTTCACAAACTCATCCAAAAAATACAAGATATGGGAAAACTTCCTCACTCATTCTGTAAGGCCAGTATTACCCAATAACAAAACCAGACAAAGACATCACAAGAATTGAAAACTACAGACAATATTGCTTATGAATAGACACAAAAATCCTCAACAAAATATTAGAAAGCCAAATCCAGCAGCATATTAAAAGGATTATACACTATGACAAAGTGGGATTTTTTCCCAGGAATGCAATGTTGGTTTAATATATGAAAATTAATGAGTATAGTAAAGTGTATTAATAAAGGACAAAAACCACATGATCATCTCAATTGATGCAGAAAAAGCCTTTGGCAATAATCCAACACCCATTTATGATAGAAATACTCAACAAACTAAGAACAGAAGGGAGCTTCCTCAACTTGGTAAAGAACATTTATGAAGAACCCACAGCTCACATCAGACTTAATGGTAAAAGACTGAAAACTTTTCCCTTAAGATCAGGAACGAGATAAAAATGTCTGTTCTTGTCATTTCTATTCAACCTTGTATGGAGGTTCTTCTAAGTAGGTCATTAGGTAATAAAAAGAAATAAAAAATACCCACATTGGTAAAGAATAAGTAAAGCTATTTCCATTTGCAGATGGCATGATCTTATATATTTAAAACTTCAAGGAATCCACCAAAAATTATTAGTAAACAAGTTTAGAATGTTTGGGATACAAGGCCATTATATGTAAATCAGTTGTAGTTCTTTTTTTTTTTTTTAATTTATTTGAGAGAGAGTGTGCACACATGAATGGGGGAGGGGCATAGTGAGAAAATCTTCAAGCCAACTCCCCACTGAGCATGGAGCCCAACTCAGGGCTTGATCTCACAACCTATGAGATCATGACCTGAGCTGGAACCAAGAATCAGATGACTGATTTAACTGACTGAGCCATAAAGGCACCCCCAAGTCAGTTGTATTTCTATATACTCGCAGTGAACAGTACTAAAGTAAACTAATAAAACATTCATTTATAATAGCATTAAAAAGAATAAAATACTTAAGAATAAATTTACCAAAAAGAAATGCAAGACATACACCCCAAACTATAAAACATCATTGAAAGAAATTAAAGGAGACTTAACTAAATGGAAAGACTTGTAGTGTAAGGATTGGAAGTCTTAATGTTGTTCTGATGGCAGTAACTCTATAGATTTGATGTAATCCCTCAGAATTCCAGCTGCCTTTGTTTTGCAGAGATGGATAAGTTGATCCTAAAACTCACACAGAAATGCAAAGGACCCAGGTCAGCCAAGTCATTTCTAAAAATGAAGGACAAAATTGGAGGACTCACACTTCCTGATTTCAAAACCTCCTACAAAGCAACAGTAATAAAGACAGTGAGGTATTGGTACGAGAATGGACAAATAGATCACTGAAGAGAATTGAGATTCCTCATTTCTAGTCCATTGACTTTGAACAAGTGTATGAAAGCCATTCAGTGGGGATAGAATAATGTCAACAAATGGTGTTTGGAATACTAATATCCATTTACAGAAGAATAAAAGTTAGGCCCCTGCCTCACACCATTTATAAAAATTAACTCAAGTGCATCAAAAACCTAAACTTAAGAGCTAAAACTATAAAACTGTTAGAAGAAAATAAGGCATAAATCTCATAATGAATCAGGAAGTCATTTCTCAGACATCAAAACCATAAGACAAAGAAAAACAGGTAAATTGGACTTAAAAGCCTTAATTCAAGGGAAGCTATCAAAAAAGTGAAAAGACAACTCACAGAATGAGAGAAAATATTGGCAAATCATTTATCTGATAAAGAACCAGTATCCGAAGAACTCATAAGTCTCAACAATAGAAAGGAAAAAAACAAAAACAATTTAAAAATGAGAGTCCAAATAGATATTTCTCCAAAGATATAAGAGTGGCTAACAAGCACATAAGGTCACATAAGCACATCATTCATCATTAGGAAAATGCAAATAAAAACCACAATGAGATACCACTTCACACGCAGTAGAATAGTTATAAAGAAAAAATAGACAAAACAAATGTTGGTGGGGATGTAGAGATTGGAACCTTTATATGCTGCTGATGGGAATTGAAAATGATTCAGCTGCTATAGAATAGAGTTTGGCGGTTCCTCAAAAAGTTGAACATAGAATTTACCATGTGACCTAGCAATTCCGCTCCTAGTTCCATAGATAGACATGACCACACTAAATTTGTTTGCAGATATACTTAACAGCATTATTTATAATAGCTAAGAAATGGAAACAACCTACATGTTCATTAGCTGATGAATAAACAAGATGTGGTATGTTGATATAATGGAATAGTACTCATTCTTAAAGAGATGAGGTACTGGTAATTGCTCTAACAGGGATGAACCTTGAACATGTGATGCTAAGTGAAAGAAGCCAGACACATTTGATTCCATTGATATGAAATTCCAAAATAGGCAAATCCATAGAGTCAGAGTATATTTGTTACTGTCATGGGCTGGGAAAGTGGAGAATGACTATTGGATATAAGATTTCCTTGGGGGATGATGAAAATGTTCTGGAATTAGTGGTAATGGTTAATAGGTTTATGAGTATACTAAAAACCACTGGATTATGTACTTTAAAAGGGTGAATTTTATAGTATATAAATTATATCACAATTAAAATATATTTGAAATCTAACTGTAGGGTTATATTATTAATATGCTTTTTGTTTTGACGATTTGGGTGATCTGTAGTAATTCTGGGAGTCTTCAAACTTTGAATAGGCTTTTCTAAATCATTCTATCTGGAATGTAGTTAGAGTTATTAATATACGTGAGAGGGCATTTCTTCTCTGATTTATTTAGACCATTAAAAGCCTGCTTTGTAAATATATTTTTATTGTTGTTGTTTATTTTTTATCTCATTTTAATGCCAGTATAGTTAACATACAGTGTTATGTAAGTTTCAGGTGTACAACTAGTGATTCAACAATTCTGTGTATTACTCAGTGCTCATTAAGATAAGTGTATTCTTTTTTTTTGTAATTTTATTATGTTAATCACCATACATTACATCATTAGTTTTTGATGTAGTGTTCCATGATTCATTGTTTGCGTATAACACCTAGTGCTCCATGCAGTACGTGCCCTCTTTAATACCCGTCACCAGGCTAACCCATCCCCCCACCCCCCTCCCCTCTAAAACCCTCAGTTTATTTCTGAGTCCATAGTCTCTCATGGTTCATCTCCCCCTCCGATTTCGCCCCCTTCATTTTTCCCTTCCTACTATCTTCTTTTTTTTAACATATAATGTATTATTTGTTTCAGGGGTACAGATCTGTGATTCAACAGTCTTACGCAATTCACAGTGCTCACCATAGCACATAACCTCCCAATGTCTATCACCCAGCCACTCCATCCCTCCCACCCCCCACCACTTCAAGATAAGTGTATTCTTAATCCTCTTCACCTGTTTCACCCATCCCCCTACCCAACTCCCCTCTGGTAATCATGTGTGTTCTCTGTAGTTAAGAGTCTGTTTTTTGGTTTGTCTTTTTTTTTCCCTTTGTTTTGTTTCTTAAATTCCACATGAGTGAAATCATGGTATTTGGCTTTCTCTTGACTGGTTTATTTTGCTTAGCATTATACTTTCTAGATCCATCCATGTTGTTGCAAATGGCAAGATTTCATTCTTTTTTATGGCTGAATAATATTCTATTGTGTATATATACATGACGTCTTCTTTATCCATTCATCTATTGATGGACACTTGGGCTGCTTCTATAATTTGACTGTTGTAAATAATGCAGCAAGAAACATGGGGTGCATGTATCCTTCTGAATTAGTGTTTTCATATCCTTTGGGTAAATACCCAGTAGTGTGATTACTGGATCATAGAGTAGTCCTATTTTTAGTTTTTTGAGGGACCTCCATACTGTTTTCCACAGTGGCTGCACCAGTTTGCATTCCCACCAACAATGCCCCAGGGTTCCTTTTTCTCCACATCCTCACCAACACTTGTTGTTTCTTGTGTTTTTTATTTTAGCCATTCTGACAGGTGTGAGGTGATAATTCATTATGGTTTTGATTTGTATTTCCCTGATGGTGAGTGATGTTGTAAATACATTGTTAATAAAAAATAGTAACTTTATGTAATATTGAAATAAAAATGTGGTATCATTATTTAAGATGTAAGAAGATCAGATCTGTCATGCTGCATGTAATTTTCATATGTTGCTGTGTAGAAAGTCTGTACTTGGGTACTGAAGCATTGCAGTGTCGTTATTACAGGAGAACCCATTCCCCCTCGGACCTTGACTGAAGCGGGCACAATGGCACTTTGCTACAGTGCTGCTTGGGATGCACGAGTTATCACTAGTGCTTGGTGGGTGTACCATCATCAGGTAATAAGGGCTGTGGTCCTTTTTCTTAATTTATTAAGAGCTATTGTGTACCGGGACACCTGGGTGGCTTAGTAGGTTAAGCGTCCAACTCTTGATCTCAGCTCAGGTCTTGATCTCAGCGTCATGGGTTCAGGCCCCATGTTGGTCTCCCAAAAAATAAGAAATAGCTATTGTGTACCAAATTTTGAGGGTATAGACGTGAACAAGGCAAAGTGCCTACTTTGAGCTGACGTTTGGTGGTGGAGAAAAATACATACATAACGTCTGGTAACAAGTGCTGTAAAAATTTTTTTTGAGAGTGGAGTAGGCAGTAGAGAGTGATAAGGGCTACCATTTTGAATGAAGTGTCAGGGAAGGCCTTTCTAGGAAAGTAAGATATGAGCAGACACTAAATGAAGAGAGCAAATGATTCATGCAGTTACACAAGATGACAAATGTTCCACTTATGACTGGCATACTGACCTAAAAGATCTTTCTCCTGTTCATCTTTGTTGGAATTTTCTGATCTCTTTTTGGCCCTTCCTGAAAAATAGCTATATCTGGTGTTTTTTTATTCACTTGGGTTTAGTAATTGTCCTTCTTAAATGCTATTTTACTTGATGCTACTTCCAATATTAGCATATTTGACTTCCCATTGCTATTTCACATTTTCAGTAATTACAATTGATAACGATGTACTTTTACAAGGTCCTAAAGCTATGCAGCAAGGTAAAGAATTCAATACTATTGGGGCACCTGGGTGGCTCAGTTGGTTAAGCGACTGCCTTCAGCTCAGGTCATGATCCTGGAGTCCCGGGATCGAGTCCCGCGTCGGGCTCCCTGCTTGGCGGGGAGTCTGCTTTGCCCTCTGACCCTCCCCCTCTCATGTGCTTTCTCTCTCTCTCTCATTCTCTCTGTCTCAAATAAATAAATAAAATCTTTAAAAAAAAAAAATTCAATACTATTATCCTCCCTAGTTTAATTTTACATCTATTTATATTCATTATTTTCTGCTGTGCTGTGATACTGTTTTCAGGAAATTAATATCACTCTGAGATTATATTTTCTGCCTCAGTACTGTTATAAAAGTGGTTTTAATTCTTTTATTGAATTGGTTTTTTAAGGGTGAAATTAGTGTGCTTTAATCCCTCCAGTATCTATGATAAAGATACTTTCAGATTTGGGGGTTTCACAGATAAATTTTTATTTATTTTTAAAGCTTTTATTTATTTATTAGAGAGCGAGCACAAGCAGGGGGAGCGGCAGGCAGAGGCAGAGGGAGAAGGAGGCTCCCCACTGAGCAAGGAGTCCGATGCAGGGCTCGATCCCAGGACCCTGGGATCATGACCTGAGCCGAAGGCAGATGCTTAACCATCTGAGCCACCCAGGCGCCCCAATAATAGAAAACTTTAAAATATTGTGCAATTATCTTCTTATTTTGCCAAATTAGAATGCATTTTTAAAAATCTACTATCATCTTTTCCCTAAAATGAAAGGTTATTTTACTACCCCAAAAACAGTACTTCAGGAAAGGATTTTATTTAATAAATACAGTATTAGTAAATATAGCTTTATGATATAAGCGTATTAAACTGTCCTTATTTTTCTCATTATATCTCAAACCAGAGGAAACATGTGGACAAGTTCTGGCTCTAATCCATGGCATTTGAAAGTTATTGGTGTAGTGTATCCTTCATTATTTCTTTTCTTTTTTACTGCAAAGGTATATCTGTCTTTGAAGAGATATTTCAGCGTTGAGAATTTTTGCTAAATTATAAACTTTTTAGGAGACAGTGCTGTTTACTTGAATATGACTTGACTTTATGGAGTGAAAATTTTAAAAATGTATTTCTTAAGACAACAGTATAATGTGGTGTTGTGTTCCTCAGGTGTCTAAAACAGCACCAACTGGAGAATATTTGACAACAGGAAGCTTCATGATAAGAGGTAATGACTTGTCGGTAGGTTATGGAGATAGGTTTGAGGACCATTGCTAATAGTATTTTCAGAACAGAAACTATTCTGATTTCATGTATGAAATCTGTTACGAAATAAAGAATATCTTGTGCTGCTGTGGCAAATTTAGCATTTGTCATGTCATCTCCATATGTATTTTTCTTGATGAGAATGTGCTTTCACATAAAGTTATAAGGGTAAGAATGTATAGCATGACCTTTTTTCTAAAAACAGATTATTCAGGGCTTGACTAACTCAAAGATGAGAGCAAGTATTCGTATTTTTTCTTTCTTAATTCCTGTTCCTATACATAATGCCAAATTCTGTGAATGGGAAATGTTCCTTCATGACAGAAAAAAGACAAAATAAATGTCACCACCAGTGTCAGATAATTTACAAGCATGAAATGGAAAAAAAAGGGATTTTTTAACATTTATGCTTATTGTCTTTTATAGGAAAAAAGAATTTCCTTCCTCCCTCATATCTAATGATGGGGTTTAGTTTCCTCTTTAAGGTATTCTTCAGCTTCTTTGTTATTTTTTTTTTCTGATTTTCATGAATCTTACCTAAAGTTCTGTCAGTGAAAAAGAACTGTTTTCATAGGTAGAGGAGTCTTGTGCTTGGAGACATCAGGGTGAACGAAAAGTCAGAGTGCAGGATGAAGACATGGAAACACTGGCGAGTTGCACAAGTGAACTCATATCGGAAGAAATGGATCAACTAGGTAGTTTACAGATTTTAATAAAATAGCTTATAGTGTTCCCTATTGTCTAGTTTATCTTCTAGATTCTTAGAGGATCATATCTACTTTGGGATAATTGAAATTTCAAAACAACACTTGTTACTCAATTTTACTGAATTTCGTTTTTGGCAGTATTAAATATACTTGTTTTAGTGAATTAGAAAGTGTTTAATTGGATCTGTAACTAATATACTATATAAACATATATAGTAAAACTTTAGTATTTAATGGGTCAAACATAAATGTGTTTAGCAGAGATAGACTCAGGTATTTACAAATGAGCATTTACTTTTGGATTTAAGAATTAGAAGTGATACAAAGATGAGTTTATAACAAGTGTAATTTCTCACGTGAGAATTTGGCTTGATTTAATAATACACTTGCTTCAAGTGGATAGCAACTGTGGTTGCTGAAATAAATTTACCCACCTACCTAAAAGAACTAGGGAAAGTATGGCCTCTATATTATTTTTACAGTTATTCTCCTAGGGTCATTCCTTTTTAGGACTAATACTGCATTGTTTCATTTATGACTACTGTTGGCATTACAAGATTTTTTAAAATTTTCACCATGTTCCCAATACTGTACAGAATTCTGTATTTACATTATTTTTAATGGAATTCTCACAACCATCTTTGTCAGGTGTTGATGGCATCTCCTATTATAGGTGAGGCAACTAATATTATTACTACTAAGCAGTGTTTCTTTTGAGAAAGTGTGAATACCTTTTGTGTGCCAGTTATATTACTTGTCTCATTTCACTTCTCATGTGCAAGTTACAATAACAGCTGCAGAATTTATGGAATTACTTCTCTTGTCCTCCTTTCTAGAAATACCTAACCAAGACAAGTTAGAGTTTTCATTGTAGAAATGGTTGCAATTCCAAGAAATTTATATAGTATCTTGGAGAGCATTTATTCCAACCAGTTCATGATACAAGAGTATCCTTTTGTCTGAATACCCTTTGGGGATGATCGGGCTTTTTTTTTTTTTTTTTGGTGATCTTTTGGAGAAATGGAGTCAACAGAATGCTTTTTTGAAGTTTTCGAGGTAGTCATCTAGCTTTGTTATGGTGGTATCACTCTGACTTAGCTTATGATATCTACAGATGGAGGTGAGAGTAGCAGTGAAGAAGATAAAGAGGAATCACACGAAACTCCTGTGGAAATGGAACTCATGACTCAGGTTGACCAAGAGGATGTCACTATTCAGAGTGGTAGGGATGAGCTAACTGATGAACTACTTCAGGAAGAAAGCTCTGAAGATGAAGGAGAATCCGAAGATGTAGTAAAAGATCAGGAACCTGTTGGTGAAATGAAGGATGAAGGGGAAGAGACATTAAATTATCCTGATACTACCATTGACTTGTCCCACCTTCAGCCCCAGAGGTAATTAAAAACGATTGTTTTATAGCTGGCAATGATGGAAGAGTTAATCCTTCTAAAATAATACCAAGGTTGACTATAGTATGTTTACCCTCCATTGTCTACAACCTATTCACCATTTGGGGGGTAGATTTCTCTAAAGAAATTTCCAGGACCAAGGGTAGAAAAATACAGTAAACATAAAAGTGGCCAAAGTAGGTCAGAAAAGAAACAAGTATATGAGTATAAATGCTAATAATATAAGAGAGGCAATTCCATTAAAAAAATTTAAGTGTTTTAATCTTTATTTAAAGTCTTACCGGTAGATCACCAAGTAAACAGTATCATAGTTTTAAAAGCTTTATCACTAGAATAGTTAAGAATAGCTTAGGAGTCAAGCCAGAATTGAGTCTTAGGGTATGTCCTTGGGCAAGTCACTCTATGTCTGAGCTTCAGTTTATTTCCTCTGTGAAAATGGAGTATTACCAACCCCCATAGGGCTTTGGTGAAGATTATACGTATATAAAGCATCTGGCAGTGCCTGGCACATAGTAAGTGTTCAATACATGTCTGCTATTTAAGAATATATTTAAAAGTGTGAGATGAGCAATATGATTTTTAAAAATTTTATCAACATGTGAAAATTTGTAGATTGCCAGTAATTAAGGGTTTGATATGGGAATGTTTGCGGACTTTGTAAATGAATGCCTTTTACAGGCTAGTGGATGCCTCTTTCTGTTTATTTTCATAGGTCCCTCCAGAAATTGGCTTCAAAAGAGGAATCTTCTAATATGGTAAGCTATTTTCAAAGTTTTGTGAAGAACATCATGTCTTTCTCATTGAATCATTTTCTACTTTTAATTTTACTTTCTGGAAAATTAATAGTAGTGATGTTATTGTTTGTATTTGCTTGTGTTTTTTTTTTTGTTTTAATTTTAATAGAGTGACAGTAAATTACAGAGCCGGAGACATTTGTCAGCCAAGGAAAGAAGGTAAACATATTTGTGTTATTTAACTGGAAAGCATGTAAATTTTTTTTTGTTTACTGGTGATTCAGTTATGACAGATGACTTGGAGGTTCTAAAGACCTCCCTTATTAAAATTAACAAGATTTAGCATAAATCTTGTTTAGTTCTTAATATTGAGCTCTATACAGGTTTTTTTGTTTTAGGCCCGTAATCTGTCACTACAGTCAGTGAGATAGGTCAAGTAACATGAGACAGACCCTTTGTTACATAAATATGTGCATTAAATAGGCTGGTTCTAGGATAATATTGGCAGGAATAAATAGGAATACTTGAAAATGATTAGGAAAGTTTCATTTAATAGAGAAGATTTTTTTCTTTAACATAGAAGGTCTCAGGAGGCAAACAGAAAGGCAGAAGGAAAGGGACAACTGAGACAATCACTATAGGGTAAAAAAAAGGCTATAAAGCTAGTGTAAAGCAGTCCAGGAAGAGATTCTAGAGTGGAATAGATAATAAACCCTTTTGTTTGAGAAAGAGTCATTAAATAGTTTCAGCAAACTCTCTGAGGACACAGCATTATGCTAGATACTGAGTATACAAAGAGGTAAAATATAAGAAAGTTTGTGCCTTTAAGGAGTTTTTGAGTCCTGGATTCAGGAAAGAGCCATACAGTAGGGATACAGTAGTTCAGGAGTAGGAAATTGCTGTGAGGCCAGGTGTGTTGAGAATGCCATCAGAAGTATACCTTGAAAATCTATTAGGACTAGGTAAATGAAGATAAGAAGGTCAAAGATTCCAAGGAGAATTAGTATGAACAAAGCAAGGCAGGGATTTGGAAGTAATATGCATAGTGCTTTGGGGAAATGATAAGTAGACTGAGGTGAAAGGGGCAAAAGTTCACGTTTGTGAACTGGTAGATGGTAAGATTGGCAAAGTGAACTTGGATCAAAAGTGGAGAACTGACTAGAATGATAAGCTAAGTATTTTTGGACTTAATCCTGAAAGTGATGTGAGGAGCACTTTTGGAAGATTTTAAATGGGAATGTGAGATAGGTAAACAAGGAAGATTAATCTAGAAGTTCATGTAGAACAGTTTATGGGAGAAATGCTGGAGAAAGGTCTGGGTAGGAAGTGATGAGGACCTGCGGTGGGAATAGGAGAGATTGCACATCAAAAATACCACAGTAATAGGATTTCCCCTTTCTCCTTCTCTGTATATCTTTATCCATTTATTTATTTAGCTAACCTATCACCATATTTTATTGAATACCTGAGATCTGCCAAGGCCATGCTGATACATAGACTACAAATCCCGGTGCCTGGCCATCAAGATGTTGAGGCTACTGAGTAAGGATAAGTCAAGGGTGACAGTGGGTGAAGCCTGGATGACAGAAAGAATGATAAATCCATGAGAGAGAAGTTTTCAGTTTTTTCTTATATGCTGATGTGCATATGTATGCTTTTATACTGTAGCCTGGTGTTTATGAAGTTAAGCAGAAGCTGTGATCGTTTATATATTGTACATGTTCCCCGTCCCTTGTAGTATTTTAGGGCACTAAGAATTAGATGTTCCCATTTCATTTCTATTTAGGGAAATGAAGAAGAAAAAGCTTCCAAGTGACTCAGGGGATTTAGAAGTGATCGAGGTAAAGGACAAAGAAAAAGAAAATACTCTACATATTGAAACTCATGCAGACACAAGCAAACGTGCGCCAGCCGTGCAGCCGATGAAACGAGGCCAGAAGGTAATACAGCCTCGGGCCGAGCTGCTAGAGTGAGTCCTCTGTGGGCCATAAAGGAGTTGTGAGCTGCTGCTTACGTTTTTAAAGTTTAAGTGAAACAAAAGATGGAGGCAAAAAAAATAATCCTTTGCGACTTCCTTTTAATGAAAATTAAAAAGAGATAAGATTTAGGGAACATAGAGATCACTGTTCTATGTCCCTTTAAGATCATCTAGATAGAAGCTCTCATCTTATGTAGAAGAGGAATTAGAAGTATAGACTTTTAAGTGTCTGATTTATCAACCTTTTCTTTTATAGTTAGTTCTTTGTGCCCTGTTTAAAGAAATCTTCAAAAATTTATAAATTTGTTATTTGGGCCCCAGCTAAGATTAATAAGGACAGAAATCTCGGTGAGGCCTAGAGGTCTATAGTTTTAAAAATTACTAGGTAATTTGGATATGTAGCCCACATAAAACAATCACCAGTTAAGAAAATTCAGTCTTGGGGCGCCTGGTGGCTCAGTCGTTAAGCGTCTGCCTTCGGCTCAGGTCATGATCCCAGGGTCCTGCGATCGAGCCCTGCATCGGGCTCCGTGCTCAGCAGGAAGCCTGCTTCTCCCTCTCCCACTCCCCCTGCTTGTGTTCCCTCTCTCGCTGTGTCTCTCTCTGTCAAATAAATAAAATCTTAAAAAAAAAAAAAAATTCAGTCTTAAGAAAGCCTTTATCCAGCTTAGCTTTTGCTGCCTTGTTTCCTGTTCTTTCTCTATATGTAGATCCTGACTCCAACCAAATGCAAGGACTTGCTATTACTATACTATACTGTCCTGTCTTTTTCTTATGCTCCTGCTTTTCCTATAAAATTCACTTCTTTTAAGACCTTCAAGTTGTACTTTATTTCTTCCCCACATTTCTTGCTTAAGCTGAAAGAAATCTTTTTTTTTTTTTTAAGATTTTATTTATTTGACAGAGAGAGATACAGTGAGAGAGGGAACACAAGCAGGGGGAGTGGGAGAGGGAGAAGCAGGCTTCCCATAGAGCAGGGAGCCCGATGCGGGGCTCGATCCCAGGACCCTGGGATCATGACCTGAGCCGAAGGCAGACGCTTAACGACTGAGCCACCCAGGCGCCCTAAGCTGAAAGAAATCTGCCTCTGAATTACCTTAGAAATAATGTTTGCATTTAGAATATGTTGCATTAATTTCTCTTTACTCTTACATGTGTCTTCTTTTCCTACTAGATAGTAAATTCTTTGAGGCTGAGGACTGGTTTATCCATCATTTTAGCCTCCATATTGTTTATTATAATGGTACCTTCTCGGCATTTTTGACAGAATAAAAGCACCTTTTCTTCTTTTTTTTAAAGATTCTATTTATTTATTTGAGAGAGAGAGAATGAGAGAGAGCACATGAGAGGGGGGAGGGTCAGAGGGAGAAGCAGACTCCCCGTCGAGCAGGGAGCCCGATGCGGGACTCGATCCAGGGACTCCAGGATCATGACCTGAGCCGAAGGCAGTCGCTCAACCAACTGAGCCACCCAGGCGCCCAAAAGCACCTTTTCTTTACAAACATTTGTTCACATTTTTTAACTGCTGAATTTTTCCAACTAAAGTCTTTTGATTTTGTAGAGTAAAATGAAAAAAATGAAGGAAAAGTACAAAGACCAAGATGAGGAAGAACGTGAACTCATCATGAAATTGCTGGGGGTAAGTAACATCCAAAACCATTTTTTTTTTGTTTTTAGATTTTATTTATTTGACAGTGAGAGAGAGAGCGTGTGAGCATGTGTGTGCAAGCCAGGGGCGCAGCAAGCAGAGGGAGAGGGAGAGGCACAAGCAGACTTCCCGCTGAGCAGGGAGCCCGATGTGGGGCTCAATCCCAGGACCCTGGGATCATGACCTGAGCCGAAGGCAGACGCTTAACCGACTGAGCCACCCAGTCGCCCTCTTCTTTTGCTTTTTAAGGGGCATCCAGACCACTACCTATCCTATGCTAGGGTTCAATACATTTTGTTAAAATATTGACAATATTGAACATACATTATTTTTTTTAAGATTTTTTGTCAGCGTGCGCACACAAGCAGGGGGAACGGCAGGCAGAGGGAGAGGCAGGCTTCCCGCTGAGCAGGGAGCCCGATGCAGGACTTTATCCCAGACCCTGGGATCATGACCTGAGCTGAAGGCTTAACCGACTGAGCCACCCAGGTGCGGCCCCCCTTTTAAGATTTTTTTGTCAGAGATAGAGAGCTGACATTATTTTACCTCTATGAATTAAAGTCTGCAGGTTCAAACAAAGAAGAAAAAGGGAAGAAGGGGAAGAAAGGAAAAACAAAGGATGAACCTGTAAAGAAACAGCCCCAGAAACCTAGAGGTGGACCAAGGGCTTCAGACAGCATAAAGAAAGAAACTCCCTCCCTTGAGGTTGTAACTCATGAGTTACAAGACTTGGCCGTAGATGATCCACATGATGACAAGGTAGGGCTACCACGCATATGTATGTGGGCTTTCGCTTCATTTAAGGTCACTAACTTCCTCAGAGTTCCCAGGACACAAGGCTTACAGTAAGTGCTAAAACCAGGACAGGTGGTAAACTTATTCTTAATGGAAGGTCATCTTAGAAATACAACCTAAAAGACTAAATTTCCAGGATATGTGTAAAAATGGTCGTGTTCATGATAAAAAGTTTTTTTTACAAGCCTTTAGAAAATAATTTTATGGAGAGGCTTTATCTGATTCTAATGTGGGAACTTAGTTACAATAAGACAAATAATTCGGATTGTCTTGAAGATGAGTAGAAAGTAAATTTGCATTTCTCTAGATTTTTCTATAGGAATATATGCTGTTTATCTTACATAATGTTTACAGTGCTTGTGCAGCTCAAGTGCCAAGTGCCCTGGTTGAAAAACCAGCAAGAAGTGAACATAATTTATCCAGTTAAGATGGTTGCCTAATTATTCATCAGCTGAATACAAGCCCAGCTTTAAGTGTATCTTCTTGAAATCCTGAGCAAAGGATTTATTACTTTATAAAACTGGAAAAAATTTGGCTTCACTGGTATTTGTATTTAGGGCCTTAAAGCTTTGGTTAGAATCGTGAGCTCTGTTCAGTGTAGGTAATGCTTACAGGGATTCTCAATGTGTTACTGTTTTCTTTTTTCCCTGAACAATGTTACTGTTTTATAATGTGACAACCCATTTTGATCCTCAAATGTTTACACTGTTCTCATATCTGTAATTTATTCTATAAACCAGAGACTCATAAATATTGAGGTGTTATGAATTATACATAGAAAATCTATTTGGAGATAATCTAAGAAGAGCAAACAAAAGTAAGCTTACCTTAATATGTGAAAAATTTATCCTAGAACTATTGAACGGAGACTAAAAAATAAAAGTTCTGTTCACGAGGATTCTCCATTTTCCTTTGGCAAACATACCAAATTTGTCATTTTAAATTATTTTACATTGAAGATTGTCATTTTACATTTAATTTCACTGTTTTAGCATGCACTCCATGTGAAAGTTTTGTTTTTTTTTTTAACTTCAGAGAACAGTGCTTTTTCTCTTTGAATGGCATTGCTCTCTAAAATAGGAGATGCACAAATTAATTCAGAGTTTTGGGACACTGAAGAACACAGTCTTGGGGTCCATAACCTGTTGTTTAGATGTGAGTCTTATTACGTTGTTTTTTTTCTCCTCATAGTTTTTAATCATGTGAACTTTCAATTTAAGTTATAGCTGACTTTTAAAATTTTGTTTGGAGCAGGAAGAGCAAGATCTGGATCAACAGGGTAATGAGGTATGATTTTGTGTTGGGGTCCCTACTGTAACACTCTGACTACAGTCTAGTTCCCAAAATATTTGACATACAATGTCTAACTAATTAAAACTTCTAAGGCTAAGGCAAGATTGTAGGCTCTGGAGTCCAACATTCTGGGTTTGAATCCCAACTTTGCTACACGTAACTGCAACCTTGAAGCATTATTTTTTGTGCTTCTGTTTCCTCATCTGGAGAGTGGGGATGATTGGTCCCTACCAGGAGAGTGTTGTTTGGAGAATATACATAAAGCATTTTAGAAAAGTCCACGGCACATAGTAAACACTTCAGCACCAAGCATCTTGTCCAAGTTTTATTCATGTTGCTAAATAAATATGGCTTATCCTGTAGGCAGCCCACCAAAGGGCAACTCTGAGAAGCCCGTAAGATTTTTCCTTAAGAACAGGCAAAATGTCTGGGGTGGGCCAGGGTGGGGCCACTAGAAAATCCCCCTAGTCAAAAACTGCTAGTCCAGCTAAAGTATCAGTCCCATTTCCAGACAATGGATTTAAATCTGTTTGTGGTCATTATTATAAATCATTTTAATCCATAGTTTTCTGCAACAAATAACATCCAACAGGTTTTTTCTCCCTTAAATGTATTTACAAGTATTATTTTTGAAAATCATTGTTCTCATTTCTCATTATGCTATACAAAAATTTTAGTAGTAAAGAATATAAACACCATTGGTCTTAAACTCTTTGGAACTAGAAATAGAAAGCAAAGCTTAGGACTATAGGCCTATCAGAAAAAAATAAAAATATATTGAGATACTAGACTTTTTTTAGGACTGGTAAGAATTTTATAATTGTTTTTGTTTTCCTTTTAGGAAAATCTCTTTGACTCTTTGACTGGGCAGCCACATCCTGAAGATGTATTACTGTTTGCCATTCCAATATGTGCCCCTTACACCACCATGACAAACTATAAGTAAGTCATCTATAGTTAAAACTGCTGACACAATAGTGACTTATGAATGATTTTGTAATCTCTGTTCAGTAACACACGCAATTCCTTTTTAAAGATACAAAGTGAAACTTACTCCTGGAGTTCAGAAAAAGGGAAAAGGTATTTAAAAATTTTTTTTTGAATTATGATTTTGAACATTTCTTCATTGAACAGAAGTAGATTCTTCTATTTTCTATTTACAGCGGCAAAAACAGCCCTGAATAGTTTCATGCATTCCAAAGAAGCAACAGCAAGAGAAAAAGACTTGTTTCGCAGTGTAAAGGTAAAGTATTCCTCCTGAAGTCTGGAGATAGTGGTGTAGTTAAAAATGTTAGCAGTTACAATTTTTTACTGTCAGTTCTTTATTCAGTAGATGCAAGCTGCAGCTCTTGTTTTGGTAGAAAATGTCTTACTAGAAGCAGTGTAAAATAAGTAAAATCATTCCAGTTGAAAATTTTGGAAATGCCTTTCTTTTGACAGCAGAGGACACATAATTGTCATAAAAGAAACATGACCACCATATAGAATGTGAAGATATTCAGCAATTCTCTTTTTTTAGGACACGGATTTATCAAGAAACATTCCTGGCAAAGTCAAAGTGTCTGCACCCAATCTTCTGAATGTAAAAAGGAAATAGCTGAAATGAAATCCTAAAATATTTGAGAAGAGCCAATTTTATAGCCTTTTGGAAGTTCAGAGATGAAAACACCATGTAACCAGACTTCCGCATTTAAAAAATGAACTAAACATTGCCTTGCTATATTCGCCAAAAGGACTTGTTTTTTTTTTTTCCAGTTTTTTAGAGAGGAAACACTATGATAGGACTTCCTAAAATATTTGTGGACAGTTAAATGCTAATTGTATACATCTGTAGTTATTCTCCTACATTTTCTTAAAATTTGGGAGGTTAATACTAAGTTTTCATTTCATGTTGTAAAGAAGTCGAACAGTGAAGTGGCTCAGTTGCTTAGACTATTGACTTGGTAGTCTACCGTATATAACATCTAATATATCTATTACAGGTCAATCACAAGGGTTTTTTTTTGTTTTGTTTTTTTCTGTTGGCATGGTGAGGGTTGGGGGTGCTCAACATTTAGGTTTAAGTCTTGAAAACCTTCTGCCTTTACTTGTCAAAAAATATATTAGATCAGATTTAAAATACACATTATTCAGCCTAAGAAATAACACCTAGAAAAAATTGGTATTGATCATTTCCATGCATTTACACAACTTCACTTTTCATCCTGATTTCTTCCTTGTTTCTACCATTTTATTTTCTACCTCTAGTAATTATCAGCATGTTACAGAGTATCTTAAAGACCTATGATATCATAAGTGCACTTTTAGGCTTATCACTAGACTCCTGACCCAATTCATCCTCTTCTCTTAACAGAACGAGGAATTTTTTTTATGAGCTAAAACACTGTTACTTATTAAATGATTAGACGATAGCTACCTACAGTCAATAAGGCCACTTGCCCCGCCCCATACCAGAGCATTAATAAGGTCAAAGTACTGAATAGCTGTTGGTCCTTCCAAAATTTCTTTAACCAGCTTAGTCCTATTGAGAATATTTTTCCATTTGAAATTAATGTAAAAAAAAAAAAAACCTTTGTAATTATATGGCCTAGTGTTGTAAATACAACAGACTACTCTTGCCATTAAACCCTAAAATATTAATTTAAAAAAATAACCACCATTTTGATAGTAATAATAATTAGCATAATGTTTCTACATCTACAGCTATATATCCTGAAGTTACTAAAAAGGAAATATAATAACCATTCCTTGGGGTAAAAAGCCCAAGTATTAATGAAGACCGTTACTGGTGTTAAATACATTTATTGTAAACTTTAGACACAAAAATAGGTTCTCTAGGCCATTCACATGCACATTAAAACCAAAAAGCTGCAAACTACAACAATGCATATAATTATACAAATGACACCACTCTCTGATGTTTACAGAATTGCTGTCCATGCAAGGTGATCAGAGGCATTATCTATGAAGCCTTAAGATCCAGAAGTGTTGTTACTACCAAACCTCTGATTAATACTGTGAAGTAAGTGTTTCGGAAGGCAGTTCCACGAGTTGGCTAACATTTCTTTAAAGCAAATGACTGCTTCTAAGCTTAGCCTGAAAGTGGACAAGAGAAAAATAGTTTTGCTTTACTATTTGGAAGTACATTAATTTGAAGACTTATAAACACCGGCCCCCCCCCTCCCCAAAAAAACACTTTAAAGATTTTCATAGGAACTGGTTAGTTCTATCATTGAAGGCTTGTTATTGCCCTTAAGTTATCTATAAACCTGGTTTTTCAAGAGCATTAATTTAAAATGAAGTACCTAGTAAAAAGTTACTTACCTTACAAGAGATTTTGGTTGAACTGAAAATATAAGTATTTCATTACTGTGTGCCTGAAAAATAGATACAAAAAACACATTCAAAAGTAAGTATTCCACAGTAAGTTTCAGAAGTATTATGAAGTGTCCTTTAACTAGGGTAGTGTACTTACAGCTCTGTGATGGACAAGGAGGTTATTGGCGCACCCGCCAAACACAATGACTTCTCCTTCGTCGCTGGCACAAGCTGTATGCCATAATCTATATTTAAAACAGAAGCTTGAATTTGAAGCTACCCAAACACCAAACTGACAATTTATACTACAGAACAGAATGATGAAATAAAGAGATCTTTAGTACAGACCAGAAACATGTTGAGAAGGAATTTATCTTAAGTAGCAAACACTAGAAAAAAATCAATGTCTGTTTTATCTGGATGTTATCATTTTAGCTCTCTGGTCCAGTCCTAATTTATGCAGTGAGGGGTTTGAACTGAATGATCTGTTCTCTAGGTCTTTGTTAGCAATAAAAACCTTATGGGAGATGTGTGGTATATGCCCTCTTGATCTTCTTCTTTTCATGGCAGGGCCAGTCGACCTGGATGCTGAATCTGCCTGAGATACGCAAAGTATCAGGCCTGGTAATTCTATGGAAAGAATTTTTGTGCCATCAATGACGGCTTTGTGCATAAGTGTACTTAAGTTAGAGGCTTGGGGGGAAAATGCAGGCTGGCCTACTTAAATGTGATTTGAATACCAGTTGTGACTATATCATATCCTTTAGCAGTTTTTCTGACCGTTCTTTTTGGGGGGATTTGACTTAGTATTTGTTCTCTAGAGCTACTGCAAATCTGATAGAAAGTTCTTGATTTTTTTTTCCCTACATACATTCTTCTCTCCTTTCCAGTTACTTTTTTAAAATGGCAAACCTAGAAGCAGTTGAATTCACTTGAGAAAAGAGCTTGATTATAAATTTTAACTGCATCAATTTTATGATAAAAGCAGCAGCAAAAGTCAAAGTCCAGCTGTTTTTTTATGCACAGTGACAGAAAAGAAAGCATTTGATACTAGGATAACACTGGTTTTCTTTTCTTTCAAGAGGTACGATGTGAAACCTTAGTGAGTGCTAGGATTTTTATAGTAAAAATGAGGGATTTAATGCAGCCACAATTTACTCTCTCATTACCAGTCTTGTACATCTTTATGGACCTCAATTATTCAGTACAAGAATATTTTTTAAATAGTTCATACCTTGGTTTCTCAGTATAGGGATGATTAAACTGTATCCATTCATTTTTACTGATGCAGTAAGTCCAGGCATCACCTGATTGAAGCAAAGAAAAAATAGCCATGAAGTATATCATTTTGTCAATAGGACACTGATAAAGGGCAAAGCTTTAACAAGAAAGATAATAAATCAGATTGTGAGTACAAACAGGAAGTATATATCCTTTTTTTAGCCCTTCGTCTGTTAAAACCCTTCAGTGGGGCTTTTAAGTGTTTCACTGGACAGAATCGATGGATGTCCTAGTATAAAAACAATTACAGGTTTGTTATGGAATCAAAATAGCAAATCTTCCAGCCAACCCTATAGCCCTCTGATATACTAAAATAGACTGATTTTTTTCCCAGCTATTTATAGATCACATATGAATGATATGATTTCTTATATTTTTAAAAGACTTACTCAGCGGCTGTTTATCAGTGGTAAATCCTCCAAAAAGAAAGAGATGATCTGAAGAAACTGGTGTGAGTGAGTGCCAAGATCGGCCAACTGGGCATATGCCTTGTGGAATTCTGAAAACAGCAGCTAAGTTACAATATCTGTGTTTAAAAGCAGCTACTATTTAATACACAGAAATACTGAATAAGTTTTCTTTTAAAGTTTATATAGAATTATGAAAAAAAGAGACTTTAAATTTAAAAAACTTCTTGGTATTAATAGCTACATGCTTTAGAATTAACCATGTTCTTAGAAGGTAGAGCCAACCTCAGGCCTTTTCTTTTCAACAAACACTGGGCATACGCTGTTGTGCCAGGTACAGTTACGGAAACAGGAAATTTAAAAAAAAAATTCCTTTAAGGATCTAGTCATGTTTATTTAAATACTCAAGTTATAGAAAATTTAAGCAAGTACATTATATACTGATAACAGAATTTAAAAAATTAAATGTTTTAAAAATAATTATCTAAAGTGATACATACAATTCATTCCACTCCCATGTGTCCAGATTAAGATAGTGAAGATCATTCATTCTAGCATCCTGAAGAAGGACAATTAAGTAATTATCATTTTGAATGACTCAAAAGCAAGTCATTGAAACTCTTCCTACACTTACTCGGTATCTGCCTCCAAACACAAAGCCTTTGTTTCCAACAGTTGCACAGGCGTGGGCAGCACGAGGTGAAGGTGCTTTACCCTATAAAAGTCATAAAAGCAATTCTTTAAAACAAATACCAGAGTCTTCTCTGGGTATGTGATGAGGATATGCAAGACACCTGAGCTTTTAAGCGAAAGTGCAGATGTCTGTTCAACAGTAACACTAAAACTGCGGAGTGTAATTTTATATTTGAGATGTGTTACCGAATGCTCTAGTTAATAGAAACCTTGTCTTATTTTTATCTTTTGTAAAATAAAAGGTAGCACATTATAGGACACCTGTGTCAGACGAAAAGGAAATCTAATATTTGAGTAACTTAAACTATAATCTAGTGCTAGGTCATTTATTTAGTTACAAACAATACCACTTAACCTCTTAGATAATGGATGCTGGGTTAGTCTATATATTCACTAAACTTTTCTGAGGTATGGACTCCTTGGAGAAAAATGAAAGCAATGGACCTTCTCTCTCCAGAAAAAGAGGAATGAACTGTCCATTTTTACCACCTCCCAACTCCCTTTCTCCTCCAAGGAGCCTTGCTTTAATAATTCATTATTCTTCAGTAACTCACAGTAGTGATAGGCTGACTCCAGATAAATGTTTCAGTGTCTAAAATATGTACATGATCATTCCATCCTCTTGGGTGGCTTGAATTCTACAGAAAATGAATAAGAATCTGAGTTATTTTACAAATGTTTGCAAAATTATATAGCTTTGTCTGGTTTATGAATAAGGCAAAACAAGACTAGCAAATATGTATTATTTCAATATACCAAGAAGGCCACATACAAATACGAAACCTCACTTACCCAAAAAGATGTTTCATCAAATTCAAAAGTTCCCAATACTTTATCTTCAGGTAAATATCCATAACCTCCAAAAAATATTAACCTGTTTGATAAAAAACCAAAACACTAAAAATTCAAACATCCACTGGTTAGGAAGATACAAGAAGTTTTTCTTTTGTCATGCTACGAATTGAGAAGGCACACTTAAATATATAAAATACTTATTCACATAATAATGGCTACTATGGCTAATTATGCCTTCAGTGCTATGTTAAGCACTTTAATGTATGGATTCACTTAACCCTCATATGGGCCCTAGAAGGTACGTTCTAAGGTTAGAATGGTTATTGTCTAAAGATACTCGGATGGCAAACCACTTTGCACATAAACACTCAAACCTACGGGGCTGCTAACTCACTTGTTTTTATATACCCAGACACCAAGTTTGTCCTTTGATGATGGAGGAATTCCTTGGCAATCAATCCTTTCCCACTGTAATACTCTGTCAGTAGACCTTGAATCCAGCATGTAGAACTGTCAGAAGCAATGATTTCAGTTAGATTTGGTTATGTGCAAGGAATTCCACCTTGGCATTTAATTTGATTGTGATTTAACGATAATAGGAACGTCCTTTAATTCAGTTCTCCTAAAAGTGTGATTACAGACTGTTACTGGTCTGAATCTACATAAGGAACTTACGCCAGAATGTAAACTGCCTAAGTCACTAGGCACCCTGTTCAGCTCATTTTTTTCCCAATCGCCTCATTTTTTTGATGAAGGAATAGAAGTGTGTGGATTTTTATTCTGTGCCTTATTACAAAGGCACTTTGAGTCCTACTAATCTAATTTATGGGTAGAAAGATGGTATTACCAAAAAAATTCAACTCAGCAATTTCACCTTCAAATTGAATTTAACAAACACGTCTTAAGTGCCTACTTAGTTGTTTAAGATTTATCCTTAGCTGCTACAGTTAAGTACTGGTCTTTCTTTCGAAGGGTTCCCATCCAGGTACTTGAATAAATCTGATCATTTTATATATATCTTCTTACTTCTCTTAAGACTCCTAAGCTTCCTTCCGATCAAATTTAAAATACTCAACCCCCAGCCATTTGATACACTAACTACTCCCATTTTTCTGTCCAGCCCTAAAGCCACAGCTTCTTTCCCAAGCTGCGTCATGTTGTGTCGAAGTTCTCTTTCTCCGCCTAAGCCCCGAAAAACACATGGCTCTACTACACCCACAGCAGTGCCTTGCAAAATCTTTTAGGCACAGAACACTTTCTTCAAACAAAATCTTCAGCAAAGCCTAACTGAAGAGGAGCTACGCTTGTTAAGATGGGAGTCGGGACGGGTGGTCTGGAGCCTGCCCAACACCAGTATGCTCGTCCCCCAGGTGTCCCAAGGCCTGTGAAAGAAATCCCTAGAGCGCCTAGGAGTACAGTCTGAAACTCTGTCATCCACACTGAACCACTTGGCGTTCCCATAAATAAGACATACTTGTTTATACCTCTGCCTCTTGATATCTGTATCTTGGCTACCCCTTCCAATTATGATTCAATTCAACCCTCTTGGGTGAAGACTTTCCTTATTCTGTTCCTCCATCCTGCCAAACACAATGTCAAGGATTCTTTTTCAGATTTAACAATATTTAAATACTTAACAATATTTACTGAGCTATTATACTATGAGCTCTATGTATCTCCTTATATGCTACTGAAATCAGCTACTTCTTTTGTGTGTCCCTTTTAGAATGTGAGTTCCTAGGGGTGGGGACTGTATCTTTCATCTCTGTGTCTCCGGAGTCTAACCAAAGTGCTCACAAGGTGCTAAGTTGCTAAATAAATTTATGAGTCTCCCTAAATCATATGCACCTTTCTGACTGACATTTGTGTCTTACTGGCTTGAGACAACAACTGTTCTCTTGTTCCGATTTGGGAAAAAACACCGACAAAGTCTGAACAACCAGTATCTTATAGTGCCATATTATAGGAATGTTAGTATATAAAATGTTGTCAGTATTAATTTATCCTTATAGCTGAGTGGTGGTCTGCTAATTTTTACCCTGCCCCTCATGATTGCATCTTGTTTTCATTTGGCTTACTAATATTTATCTAACACCCCAGGGTTCTAAGAGACTAAGCAGCTGCAGAGAGCACAAAGCAAAACCACTTAGGAAATTACTGCACATAGGTTATCAACCAAAGTTGATTTTACCAAAGGCCTAGATGTAGACTGGTAGACAAAATACTAAAATAAAATGCACATTCATACCATTATCACATACGTGTATTTTTTAAATTGGGACAGGAGTAAGTATAGACTAACCTTAGAAATCTGAAGTTGTCTGAAAAAGAGTAAAATTGCTTTGAACCATAATCCTGAGAAACACTAACCTTATTTGTGTTGCCTCTTGAATGATGTCCCCCGAACAAGTAGAGCACCCTGTCTACACACACAGCACAGCTTCCTGACATGGAAGGAGGAACATCTCCTTCCGTGTTAATTTTTTTCCTGAGGGCAGAAAAAACAATGTAAATGTTTCACAAAAGGGAAGAAATGCAAAAGTTACTCACTTTTCTCCTATCCCCACAATAAAGGGAAAAAAATAAAATAGGCTGGCCAGCTAGATAACGCCTGGGGTCTCTTCTAGCTCTAAAATTAATCCAGGGAAGGAGTTCTTTGCTCCCCAGCCGCTCTCCAGGCAGTACTAGATGCTGCTGCACGGGCAGTGAGAATTCGGAAGCTTCCGTGTTGGGTAAGCCTAAGAGCACACCATTTTGTGTGGCTCAAACTAAACTGCTGCTCTTTATTGACATAACCAGTGGCTATTTCGTTTTTGGTTTCGAGTGAGCCAGGAACCCCAGAGGAAAACTTCATCCCTCTCCTGACAGATTAATTCAACAAGTGTGTTTTATTCAGTCACCTTTTAGCCATTCAAATGAATCTGATGATTCAGACCTTATGTAAAATTATAGGCAGTTAGTACTTACTGTAGGCCAAGCACTCCTGAGTGCTTTGCATGCCTTAAAACATTCTGATCTCAATCAAAAAGTCTAAGAAGTCCAAGATTCGGAATATTAATATGTTAAGGTCTTCTGCTCACTTTATCACTTTATGCTAAGCTTTAAGTTTTGGTAGGCTTATTTTTACAAATCCTGTATGGGGCTGAATGTTTTAAAAAATTTGTAGAATTCCCCTATTAAAAGGAATACTCTTAAAATTTCCAATTCCCAAAAAAAAAAAAAAAAGCAAACAGCTCAAATCAACACTGATTTGCTATGTACAGAAATAATGTTGACTTTTTAGTTGAAACCCTTAAATCAGGTGGGACCACTACTGTTCTAGTTCTGTGATCTAGAATGTGCAAAATACATAAAGGGCACAGACTTCTTACAAAGCAAACCATGGAGAAGACTACTTGATAAATCCCCAAACCTGGCTAACCCAGCATTTTCAGAACCATGTTAATTCTGCCAAGAACATACTCTTGAGTACCACTGTTAAGAGACTGGCAAAAGATCTTTTCAGAATATGCCCAGTTGTATGGAAGGCAAATTTAGGTTAGTGTTTTTTAACACTATTTTAAAGAGATCTGCATTGAAATTTTAATGTTAGAGCTCAGGAGAATACCATCTTTATTTCTAGCAGATACAATCTAGAAATCCTTTTCTCATTTACCATATAACAAGATAGAACATTTTGAAAAAATATATATAGAACTTTTACTATATTCCCATTCCAGGATCTGAAGCCTCTACTTCTTTAATATTACAAGGATACTTTATAGAGCCTTGAATAGAAGTGTCTTCAAAGGTCATCAAAGTACCAAATTACTGAACTACTGAAGAGTTGCTAAAATATCTAAGCTTAGCAGCTAAGCTGAACTAGCAGAACACTGTTTGTAGAACATAGTTTTGCATCTTCAATTAAAATATTTTTATTCTAATAGAATGAGCTTTACAGAGTTTTTTTCTTTTTTTAAGATTTTTATTTTAGAGAGAGAGTGGGGTGGGGGGTGGCAGGGAGAGGGAGAGAATCTTCAAGCAGATTCCATGCTGAACATGGAGCCCAACTTAGGGCCCGATCTCACGACCCTGAGATCATAACCTGAGCTGAAACCAAGAGTTGGACACTTAACTGACTGAGCCACCCAGACACCCCCAGGGTTTCTTTTTATTTGCAATCTTATTTGAGCTTTTTAGTCTCGCTCATAATATCCACAGTTACCATCTTCCAGTCTCCATGTTGTAGATCCATAGTTCTTCTCTAGGCAGATAAAAGTCATATAATCCTCTGACTTGGTTACTCTAAGAAGAATAAAAAAAATAGCAAATATAAAAAATAATTGGTATTCTAAAGAGGCAGTATTGTGTATTTTTTCATATCTACCTAGAGATACTAATGAGAGATGAGCAGTTAAAGAGGTCTTACAATTCAGTTCTAGCCACGGGCAATCCTCCCATGTGGACCCAGGATTCAAGGGAATTTGCAACTGCAATCGAGGCCCAACCTCCCCAACCTTTGAACCTCCCTGGCCACTTTTTGAACAATGTCAACAAACGGTGAACAATAGCAGTTCACGGAGAATGGGTGTCAGAGTTGAATCAGCTTGTATATTAAGTATTATACAGAAATAGAGGAGGTGGCCATGTAAATATTTTCTATTCCACCACTTATGAAGAGAAGGCTGGAAACAAGACAGCAGGCTGACCCGGAGTAGAGCAGCCTCGCCCGGAGAGAACGGACTACTGTGTAGGAAGCTAAGGTTTATTGCCTTCAAAACAATCTCCAAAGGCTTCTCGGGGTTCTAGCCAAAATACTGAGGACAGCCTGTCTTGGAACCACCCACTTACTCCACTGATCATGCCTCCCTCCTGCGAAGTCCTAGGCACCCAGGCCCTCAAAAACTCACCATCAAAAATCTCCCTGACAACCTTCCCCATCCCCACTCCCCAAAGTCAAGTCCCATTCCCTCAACGCTGCTGACTTTCACAAACAGAATTATGAATTAGTAGTTTAGACCAAAGTGTGACTAACAGGTTAACTTCTCCAATGGAATCATTTACATTTAATAAGCATCTCTACATACCTGCCCCTTCCTCCTACCAAGTACTCGCCTCTAAACATCTATTCATTGGACCCTGAGGAAAACGTTGCAGATTAATTAGGACTGGCGGAAAAAAAAAAAAAAAAAAAAAAAATGCTCTTGTGGTTAAACTAAATGAATTCATCGGGCAGCCACAGCAGTTTATTCCATCTGCCTTTTTGGACAGTCATCAGCTATAATCAGGTCAACTGTGCCAGAGGCCAAAATCTATTACCACAGTCAAAATAAGTCATCCCAAGACACAGGTGCAGTGGACCAGATTTCAAGCAAATGGGGGTGGGGAGATCAATTTTAAGACCAAAAGGGACTCAAAAGTATTTTTGGGAGGAATGGATCAGAGCCACCCCTGCAAATGCAATGAGCCAATTCTAGAATGTGGAGTGTTACTGGGAAGCTCTAATAAAAGGGCAGGAGAACTGGTGAACAAGGTTTCAGTAGGAAACTGGGGAGGATTCCGCAGCCAGAGGTAGCAAGAAATGCAACTGACTCTAAACTGGTAACGAATCACATTGCTTATGATTAGGGGTTAAAGAGCTGACTTGGTGGTTACAATTGTTGCTGTTGATTTTTCTGGTTACTGGTGGAGCCCTTTCCGTTAATTTTCTTAATAGGGGTTTCGTCTGAAAAACGTCAACCCTTTCTCAGCTGAAACCAAAAGGCAATCAGCCCTGCAATGTTCAAACAACAGGGTAACGGCCATCTGCACAGGTGTAGCTAGGACTCCTGAACGGGCGGGAAGGTTGAACAAGGCGATTCCTGCGGCCTCCGGCAATTCCAGGGAGTTTTCCTACACCTCGGTTACCCCGTAAGCGGGCAACGGATTCCGTGCGCCAAATGACCCCAGCTCCGGAGGGTCAAGTGCTCCCCTGCGGGCCCGATAAACGGTTAAGAGGGACATCACACGTCACCACTCTTACCCCCCCCCCTTTTAAAATAAAACACGTCTCGGAGTCTTGCGCCGCCCAACGCGCCCTCCCCCAAATAACGCTCCAACTTCCACCAGTGCCCAGGGCCGCCGGGGGCGCCGCGCGCGGGGGGACGGGGGGCGCGCGGGGTGGCGGGCTCTGCAAGCGGCGGGCTGGCGTGACAACAGCCCAGGCGCGTCCGGGCGGGTCGGGGGACTGGCGAGGAGCCCCCCGCTCGCGAGAAAATGCACCGACGGGCAGAGTAGCGTCGCGGGGGCGCCCCGGGGGCCGCTCTGGCCTGCCCGCCGACCCGCCCTCGGGGACCGGCCGAACGACGCCCGCCGCGGCCGGCCGCCCACTGACCTTGTAGCCGCCCCAGACGAACATGTGGCGCCCGTCGCCCACCGCTACGTGGCCGCTGCGCTCGGCCGGGCAGGCGAGCTCCATGGACTCGTAGCCCTCGTAGGCTGGCCCCGGCAAGTCGTCCGCCCGCAGATCCTCGTTGCCATCAGCCATCTTGAGGCTGCACTTCTGTTCACCAACAATCCTCACACCAGCGAGGGGGGAAGAGACAAAGGAAAAGGAAGAAATGCACGGCGGCGAGAGGCGAGCAGAAGGCGGCGGCGACAGGCACGGCGTGAAGGCCGCTCGCTGGCCGCCCGCTCGCCGCCCGCGCCCTCCCAGCCCTCCTCAGCGAGGACAGCCTCTCCGCCGCCTGGGCTGCGCCGCGGGGTCGCGGCCCGGGGGCGGCGGCGGAGGCGGCAGCACGGCCGAAAGGGGGTCCACTTGGGGCCAGGACTAGCTTCCAGCCTGCCCGCCCCGCCTCCAGCTCGCCTCTCGCCGCCGCCGGCTCTTGTTTACGCCGCGGCCAGAACCGCCTGTTCCGCTGACGCCGCCCGCCGGGCTCCGGAAGCGCGGCCGGGGCTCAGCGCCCCCAGCGCCGGGTCTTCCCGCCGCAGCCGCCGCCGCTCGCTGGCCCGCAGGCGGCCCGGGCCCCAAACTCGCTCCGAGCCTCCTTTCACTGCGGGCGCTGCAAGGATGCGAAGAATGGGAGCCACATTCTTGCAAAAAAAATTTTTTTTTTTTTTTTTTTTTTTTTTTTACCGAGAAGTCCTCCTCGTGCGATTGAGCAATGTTCTTAAAGGGTTCACAGCCCGAAAAGGGATAGTGACATTGCCCAATAAGTTTCTGGTCTCAGCCTCTCCAAGAGAGGAGTCCACGCGCTGTTTTCCTGTGGCCACGAGCCGTGGCGCCTGGCCCTCCCGCCTGCTGCCGGCCCGCCTGCTCGCGCGCGGGTGCGCTGGGGGCTCCCGGCTTCGCGCCACTCCGATGCCCGCAAAGCGGTTCCTGGCACCTCCGCTCGCTGAGCTCTTCTGGTTCAGCAGAGATCTTAGTGCAGAATCCTTCACCCAGTTTGGAAAATTGTACTGAAAAAGTACATCAGAAACCATCACCGCCCAGCCCTTAAGGGAGGATGGGAAATCCTGTTGACACACAGTTACTGTTTTGTCTTACGTTTTATATGATACATTTCAGTTAGGTCAAGAAAAGTCGGAATTACTGTAATCTAAACTTGAGTCCTCACCTGTAAAATAGGGTTGGACCAGAATACATCTTAAATCCCCAGTGTAATGGTGCCTCTTTACTTGGATGTGTTTGGTGAGAGGAGTCTGTTTTATTATCCTGTTTTTTTCCATCTTCACGCTGTGGCCACTACTTGGAAGGAATACTTTGAACAATAACAAAGGCTTTCCGGACTCAAATTTTCATAGCCTGAAACTCCTTCCCTAGTCACTGCCCGTATGTTTACAATTTATCAAAATCTGTAGGATGGGTGAAAGCAGTGCTTAGAGGGAAATTTATAGCAGTGACTGCATGTATTAGAAAAGCAAGACCTAGGAGCGCCTGGGTGGCTCAGTTATTAAGCGTCTGCCTTTGGCTCAGGTCATGATCCCAGGGTCCTGGGATTGAGCCTCGCATCGGGCTCCCTGCTCAGCGGGGAGCCTGCTTCTCTCCGTCTCTCACTGTGTCTCTGTCAAATAAATAAAATCTTAAAAAAAAAAAAAGATAGCAGAATATATTCCTAACTCATTCTGAGACCAGCATTTCCCTAATATTAAAAACAAAGACATCACAAGAAAAGAAAATGACAGGCCAATATTGGCCAATATTGAACATAGATGCAAAAATCCTCACCAAAATATTGGTAAATCAAATTCAAAAAATTAAAAAAGAACTATACACCATGATCAAGTAAGACTTACCCCAGTATGTAAGGCTGTTCAAAATTTAAAAAGCAGCTAATTTAATCCACCATATCAATAAGCTAATGAAAAATCAAATGATATCAATAGAAGCAGAAAAAATAACATCTATTCAGGATACAAACTCTTAGCAAGGGGTAGCTGAGTGGTTCAGTCGGTTGGGCGTCTGACTCTCGGTTTCAGCTCGGGTCATGGGTTCCGTGTTCTGTGTGGAGTCTGCTTGTCCCTCTCCCTCTACTCCACCCCCACTCATGCTCTCCTCTCTCTCTCAAATAAATAAAAGTAAAATCTTAAAAAAAATCTCAGCAAACTAGGAATAGAGAGGAACTTCCTCAACTTGATAAAGAACATCTACAAAAACCTACAGTTCACATCATACTTAGGGTGAGAAACTCAAAGCATTCCTACTAAGATCAGGAACAAGGAAAGGATGTCTCCTCTCACAACTACTTTCCAACATCATACTGGATTGTCCTCACTAGTAATTATCTACGTAGAAAATCCTAAAATAATTATTCTGGTACATCCAGACAATGGAATATTATTCAGTGCTGTTTTCAAGCCCTGAAAACATACAAACTTAAATGCTTATTGCTACTGAAATAAACCAACTTGGAAAGGCTACATACTGTATGATTCTAACTATATGACATATGGAAAAGGCAAAACTGTGGAGTAAAAAGATCAGTGGTTGCCAGGGGTTAGTGGGGAGGGAGAAATGAGTGAACAGAGCATAGCGGATTTTTAGGGCAGTGAAATGATTTTATATGCTACTATAATGGTAGATACATGTGTTACACATCTGTTTAAACCCGTTGAATATATACCACCACGAGTGAACCCTAATGTAAACTTTGGACTTCAGATGTGTCTTAGCTTGGCTGCTATAACAAAATACCACAGACTGGATGGTTTGAACAGCAGACATTGATTTCTCCCAGTTCTAGAGACTGGGAAGTCCAAGATCAAGGTGCTAGCAGATTTGATTCTGGGTGGGGGCTGGCTTGCTGATGGCTGCCTTCCCATTGCATCCTTACCTGGCAGGGAGCGAGCGAGTGAGCTCTGGTCTGTGCCTCTTCTTAGGACAATAATCCCATCATGGGCTCATCACCTCATGACCTCATCCAAACCTAATTACCTCCTGAAAACCCCACCTCCAAATACTACTACTTTGATTGAGCATCAGAGTTTCAATATATGAATTTGGGGGAACACAAACATTCAGTCTGTAACAGGGTGACAGAAAATGTTCTTGCTGTTCCACGTGCTGGACTGTGTGATAACCTCATCAAACCGGAAATTCCAATATAATCACATTAATCCGGGCACACACACACAAGGTGGGCAGGGAGCATTATATGTTTCTTAAAATTGCTTTTCTTTTGAAATGCTCTGATGTCAACAAATTTTAACTTGTCAGATAGTATATACTATCCTGAAAATTATTCTTAGTTTGTATTATTTCTCTCTCTCCCACACATACAATATAAATAAAGCATTACTTTGTGCCTAGACAGAAGGCACGAAGTTCTAAAGAATACTTTTACGCTTCTATTCAAAGGCTAATCATTTTTAAAGGTGTGTGTGCAAAGATACTATTTGGAAAAAAATGTATGTGTTATTGAGTATATCATACTAAAGATGATAATACGCAAAAGAATTCTTCCTGACAACAGGAAGAATATCCTAAGAATATCCATAATATATATGACTGGAAATCTTCTTCCTTGAGAACCAAATTGGAAACCTATTCTGTGAACCATCTGGACAAAAGACCATCAAGCCCTGTAGAGTCATTTTTCAAACAGGGAGCCTGTGAGGGGAGCTCAGAGCAGAAGCTGCGAGGTGTGGCTGTCTTGGGCTCCTCCACGCTGAGGAGATCAGCAGCACAAAAGGGATAGTAAACCATCAGCTGGTGAGAAGTGAGGAATTAAGACTGCTAAAGCGGGCTTTGCAGGCTCCCAGAATTTCTACAGCCACTACCAGCAGAGAAGCCAAGTCTGGTTTAAGCCAACTTTTGGAGCTTGAAGGTAAAGATCAGAATTTCCTGCCCCTCCTACTATGGGGCTCCTACCTCAGGACCGGTAAGTTCTCCAAGCAGCACAGTATATGAAGCCAAAAGTTTTGTGTGCCACAGATAAGAGATTTCTGTTGAAGCCTAAATGATACTGTATTTTGAGGGGGCTAATCCAACTTTTAACATTCTAAGTAAACCATTTCAAACCAGAAGTGCTTTTCTAAGAGGCTACAGAAGGCATCTGCAAAATCTAGAATTTAAATTCACATGATCCACATTTTAAACGATGTTCATTCCATTCACTGTCATCTATCACTGTCCAATAGGTTTTGATATTTTTCCCCTTAAAAATGCTGACAACAGAAGTTCATGTAATAATTACTTCTAAGATGTATATTACCTGTGAGATTCATTTTCTAAATCTGTTATTCAGCCTAAAAATAGTAAAAAAAAAAAAGAAAGAAAGAAAAAGAAAGAAAGAAAGAAAGAAAAGAAAACTTACACTGAAATATTGTTTGCACAATCAACTCTAATGAGTGGTTCACACTAACAAAACTAGGAAAATAGTAAATCTATATAGTTCGTATAATAAAATGTAAGCACAAAGTATTTCAATACATAAATAGAAGCTTTACACATCTAAAATACAGTATATATATATAAAATATATCTGTAAAATTTAATGAGCTACTATAATTATTATAAATTACATATCTATTTCAATATAGAAATATATTCTCTCTAACATTTTAAATTTTAGAGATAGCTTGAATGCTGATATTATGGAGAATAATTTCATATACTGAGCTTTTTAATAATTCATTGTTATTAGTAATTCAATGGAAGGGTATAAATGATAATATGAGTAATTTCTTAATTATGGTAAAAGTACCAGTTTAAGGAATATAAAGATAAATACAGTGTGCCGTTTCTGTAGGGCAGTTAATACTGACAATCAGTGGGAAGAGAACATATTTCCAATATCGTGGGTCTTGAGGACCAGCTCTGTAGAGTGGTGTGGGCCAAAGAGCAGGGTTTCTATACACATAAATTACTAGGTTACCATCCCATTTCATTACTTACAAAAACTACTTTAGGAGCATTCTTCCAAGGCAAAAATATATTTTAACGTGTCTGAAAAGTTAATACATCTACTGCTTCTCAATATTTCAAAGTCTGTATGGTTAAGTAAACCTCCACTTTAGACACTTTAAAATATGGTCTTTATATCTATACATTTGGACAAACTAACAACTTAGGGGTAATGGAAAGACAATTGAAGACATTTATTCCACTACTCAAATAAAGGTGAGGAAAAGTTATGATGATGCTTAACGAGAGACTTTGCTAGATAAGCACTGAAAGGCAGGAGGCCCATACTAAACACATACCAGTGTTTGCCCATTTTATCATTTGCCCAGCTGGATCAGTTATTCAAGGAGAAGGTTTTAAATAACTGGGTTATTTAATGAGAAGCTGTAGATAATTTCAAACTGGCTTGAGAAAATCCATTCTTTCCGAAAGCTGATGTATAGTGTTTTTATCTATTATTATGTTGGGGGATTTCTACAGTCCTTGAGTTAATCTCTCAGTCTCCTGAAATTCATATAAACTTCCCAGTAAAGAGTATACAGTGAGTTAAAAATATCTTACAATTGTACTTACTTTC